GCCAAACGGCAATTCTAGCTGAGACGTCCCACCAAAATCGGCGCGAACGGGCTCGTGAGATCAGCCAGGGTGGCTCCCCCTTGGGGCTCCCAAATGATGCCCCTGGCAGCGTTTTGTGACCATGAGGCTCTCAAGAGATACATGTTGGGGAGGCCAAACGGCAATTCTAGCTGAGACGTCCCACCAAAATCGGCGCGAACGGGCTCGTGAGATCAGCCAGGGTGGCTCCCCCTTGGGGCTCCCAAATGATGCCCCTGGCAGCGTTTTGTGACCATGAGGCTCTCAAGAGATACATGTTGGGGGGCCAAACGGCAATTCTAGCTGAGACGTCCCACCAAAATCGGCGCGAACGGGCTCGTGAGATCAGCCAGGGTGGCTCCCCCTTGGGGCTCCCAAATGATGCCCCTGGCAGCGTTTTGTGACCATGAGGCTCTCAAGAGAGACATGTTGGGGAGGCCAAACGGCAATTTTAGCTGAGACGTCCCACCAAAATCTGCGCGAACGGGCTCGTGATATCAGCCAGGGTGGCTCCCCCTTGGGGCTCCCAAATGATGCCCCTGGCAGCGTTTTGTGATCATGAGAGAGTGTGAGTGTGAGTGAATGTGACTGTGAGTGAGTCTGATTGAGAGTGAGTCTCATCTTATCTTATCGAGTCCTATCTTATCTTACCTTTATTACCCTCTATCTTATCTTATCTTGAAATATCTTATCTTGTCTTAGCTTATCTTATATCAACTCATCTTATCGCACCATATCTTGTCTTATCTTATTACTCCATAGGCTGTCTTATCTTATATATTATCCTACCTTGTCATACATCTTATCTTACATGATCATATATTGTGATATCTTATCTTATCTTGTAGTATCTTATCTTGTCTTGTCTTATCTGGTGATTATCATTGAAAGGAGGGAGGCGCGAGCGGGAGGAAGGAGGAACAGTGGGAGGCGTCAGAGTAATAACAAGAACCCCAATCCTTAGGATATGGGGAACAATGACATCCGCACCGTCTTTCAGATTGTGCGCGGCACGCGTTCGTTATGTGTGACAGCCTGTCATTGCTTCAACCCTAGCGCGCTGATGAGATCGTCCGGCCGGCGTGACATTGACATTGTATTTGCCCTCCGAGTTCCTCCCTCGCCCCTCTGCCCTCTGCCCCCCAGCTTCTGGCAGAGCGGCGGCGGCAGAGGCCAACGACCACTTTGCCGACGAGGCGGCCCCACACCCGGGGCCAGCCCCTCCCATGTGCTGAAAGGTCGGCCGTCGGCGTCGTCTTCGTCGGCCATGGGCGTCTGCGTCGGCCGTCGGCGTCGTCTTCGCTGGCCGTCGGCGTCGTCTGAGTCGACGTCGGCGTCTTCGGTCTTTGGTGGTGGTGTTCCTTCCTCGCCACCACAGCTGGACTCGCCTCGCGATCCTCGTCGGAAATTTCCCAAGCAAAGGTCCATGGAGTGGTCAGCGGTATGGGCATCTCTTGGCTTCCGCAAGAGTGAATGGGGAAGGGAAAGGTGGGGTGGACGAGGACGCGGCGGCGGATGGCGAAGGGAGCGGGACGGGGGCAAGCAGGGCAGGCGGAGGGGGAGGGAGAAGCGGGGGAGGGAGGGCGGAGGGGGGCAGGAGGAGGAGGAGGAGGATGGGGGGGGGGCGGAGGGAGCGTCGGAAGAGGGGGGGGGAAGGAGTGCGGCATCTCTCTGCCTGCCCCTCCTCTCTCCGCGGCGGTCGCTCGGCCCGGCGGGCCGCGCACCGGTCCCCGGCGGGAGTTCGTTCTACGCCCGCGTCGCCATCGCATCGGGGGCCCGGTTGGCGTTGGCGGGGCGGCGGTGTGTCGCTGGTGGTCAGACCTCCGACGCCTTGAACACATGAAGCGGTTTTTGTTCCAGCCTCGGTCTCCAATGGGGGCCGTCTCCAGGCTCTGGGACCACTGGAAGACGATCCGAGACGAGGAATGCATGCCCCTCCAGGACACGGGCCCGAGCTCTGGGCCCCGGGCATCGGCCACATGCACCACCGCGGAGGTGTGAGTCCCAGGTCGATGACTTGTATTTTTTCTCTTCCCCCCCTTCAGACCTCCGGTGTCTCTCAGCCACTCCCCCCTATCCCTGTCCTTGCCCCTCTCCCTGGTCCCCGTCGCCATCGCCCTGGACGCCCGTGGTCCGACCCCACTGCGGTTGGTGCCAGGTTCCCCTCTGGGCGTCCGCCCCGCTGCGGGAGCCTCCACCCCGAGGGGCCCCTGCGCCAGCTCCAGAGGTCGGGGGCCGCCCGACGGGGTGGTGACCACGCCGTGTGCGCCGACAAAAATATCGGCGTTTGCGTGCCAAGACATTTTCTTTTGCGGAGCTGGGCGCCCTGGCGTGGACGGCCGAACGACGCCCGCAGCGGGACACCATGGCAACACGGCTGCCGCCGCATAAGCTGTCGGTTTAATTCTGGCACCGCGCAAAGGCGCCCCCGCAAACGAGTCGGTGGGGATTCGGTGTCACCACACGGTTTTGGGACCCGACTCCCTCTTCGAGGACGTCTCGGGCGACAGGGGCCCCCGATGTCCCGAAACCGTGCGTTGACGGCCGTGCGGTGAGGTCTTGAGCGATTTCGGGGTCACGTCACGGTCTGTCACCGCACCGTTTCGGGACTCCCAAAGAGGGCGCTGCACATTTCAGGGTCATAGCCAGTCAGCGTTTTGTCCGTGGGCCTTGAGCTCCAGCATTGGGAATGGTGGATGTCGCACGCTGGATGACCCAGTCTGTGCGACTGCTGTTTCCCGCAGCCATTGTGGCTCAAGTTCCGACGACGTGCTTTGGGCGCCTGAAATTGGTCGTTCTCCGACCACCGATTTCAAGGCACGGGGCCCTTTTGGGGCCACTCTTAGCAGTAGATCGAGGTTGTTTGGGGCCCTCCCAGGCCGTTTGTGGGGCCAGGGGAGGGCCTGCGGGCTACCCGGGGGCATGTTGGGTTTTGTTTGGCATGGTTTGTTTGTTGTTGTTTTGATTTTTTTTTGTGCGACGCTTGCTTTATTTCAGGGGCCACGGCGGGCGCCAAATAGAGCAAGCACCTTTGCGATATGATCGTTGTGCTTGCTCACGTCAGCACCCTGGGCCCCGGAAACCAAGGGAGGAGGTCTGATTCGATCCGAGAGACGTCAGCATCAAGGCCTCGTGGACGCAGGAAGGCGGGCGACCCTCCCGCCTGGGGGTTGAGCTGGCCCCCCAAGGGGGGGGGGATGAGGCGGGGGGGAGTGTGGCACAGCACGCACTGGGTCAACACTTTCTTCGCAGGTTCCGCAGCATTCCTTCGGCCGTCCAGCCCGAGGGAACCACAACGGTACAACAGAAATACACATGTTGTGGATGTCGGTGTTCAGGCCAACAACGCGTTGCATATTGCTGTGTTGACTTCGCTGCAATGGCCGCGCGGATTGGGCACCGCTTTACAGATTGTGCGGTTTCGCCAGGGAGCGGCAAACCGTGCTGGGGCCGTGCCGTTGGCAATGTTCCAGGTGCATGCTCCATGCCACGGTGCCGCGCATTCCAAATTCATTTGGGGAAACCCAACACACGTGCACACGCACAAGCAACGAATGTACGCAAAGTCGCGAATTGTTACGAATTTACCAGCGGCGGGTTCATGAGCCTGCCAACGCGCCATTGAACATCATCACGCACGCGCATCAGTCCACGTTTAAGTCCAGATTCACCCTCCCCCCAATAATTGAAATGGCCGATCGTCTTGCGCCCGCGCCACACGTGCGACGTCAGTGCCGATTCGCGTGCGAAGCATTTCACAATACAGGCACGCGCGCTCAGTTTCTGTCACACGCGCCGTACCAGCTCCTTCGCCGCAATCGCGCAAGCGCAACGCGCACGCCAGGAAAGCGACAGTCTAACTCTTCCGCGCTGGGCAACACGCCTCCGTTTCTCTCTCGTCGCCCCGCCTTCCGTTTTCAATTCGCCCACGAAGTGGTGCATGGTTGGATAAAGTGTTGTTGGGCTTGCTCGCCTGCTCTCACACAGCTTGAAAGTAAAGCGTCTAGTCTTGAGTCGGCGAAGACTTGTTCTGGACACGCCCGTCATCGAGTTCGCAGCAGGGGTGGCGGGAGGCATCCCAACGGAGAGCCCGTCATCGCCATCATCCCCCATCGTTCCCCTCATTCTCCAAGGGTGTCCGCGAATCGGTCGACCTGGTTGCGTCGCAGTTGTTTACATAGCGTCGATTTGGTCGCTTGTCGTGTCGCTGCGCCCTTCAGGTTGTTCGCGGCCTGTCCGGTTCGGACGGTGTCGGGTTCGACATCAGTTCGATCGGTTTTCGATCTTGGTGTCGCCGCGGACGGCCATGTCATCTTCCTTCTCCACGAGGCAGCCAAACGGGAAAAACATATGCGAATGCATGGAAGCTTTTGCCCACGGATGGATGGGGGGGGAGGATGATCGGCTCCGTTGTATCCTCAGGACGCGAGCCGCCCTTCCAGCACTCTGAGTGGATCGGGGTTTCGTGTGCGGCGGGGGGTGGCGCCTCGGCGGGCTAAATCGGAAGTGGGGGGGGGGGGCGGGTCGCCGCCGCGATGTTGAGGTGCTGGGCCCGTATACGATCGCGTTTGGTGTTGGTCCTCGCTGTTGAGAAGTTGCAGCCTTCCTGCAAGGTCAGGGTCGCGCGGTGTACCTCGGGATGCTCCACCTGTAGATCACACTCGGCTACCCTCACCCCCGTCAAGGACGGAGGAGGAGACGCGGCTGGAAGAATGGGCGACGCATGAGCTTACAGCCCGCCGGAAATCCAACTCGTGGAGGAGGAGGTGGAGGATGTGGAGGAGAAGAAGGAGGAGGGGACAGCGGCGCGGCAGCACCTGATGTAGTGCCACGGAGGCGGGTGACGCGGGAAAGTTTGGAGAAGGGTGGCGGTCATCGAGAAAGGCGGTACCCACCTCCCTGGTGTGCCCCGCACCTGACCAGTTCTCGCAGTAATGGGGAAGGCGCTAGTGGCGCGGCACAAGACCAATTAATTCTCGCCGTACCCATCCTTTCTCCTCCTGTTCCTCCTGTTCCTCCTTCACATTTCGATCCCGTGCCTCGGTGCGGCCTTTGTGTTTCGGTGTGGTCGGGGAGAAGAAGGAGGAGGGGTACAGGGCGAAGATTGTTGCGGGGAGACTGGTAGAGGGAGGGACAGTATTGGTGCGCTCGCGACATCCGACATCCTACACCCCTGTCTCTCATCTCTTCCCATGGAGTCGGGCCCCCGCTATTCGCAGAGTCGATCGGTCGAGGGGGAGACATGGATCTCGAAAGGGCCACCGAGTTTGAAACGTCGCACAAGCTCAAGCGGGGATACTGCTTCGACTGATGCCAGACGTACGGCCAGTGTCTCGGTGTTAGCGTCATTCGAGGCATGAGGAGGTCTGTTGGACCAAGCTTCAAAGGGTCAGCCGCAAGGCGCGCCCCAGGTGCACCGGCCACATGCTTCCTTTCGCGTGAAGAGGGCCACATAATCACATCCCCGACGTATCAGCGATGCGGCGAGATCTTGAGCCCATTCTTCTCCATCCCGCCTTCGCCAATGCATCACCGATGCAGCGCGATTCTTCGACTTCATCTGTTAGGGCCCCATTTTGGGATGCCTCGAATCAGGGCTACTGGTGCTGGTACGCAGTGATTTCGCGTGCCCCAGCGTTGGGCAGGGTCGGGCTGGACACGCGTGGCTGGCCCGGGGGGGGGCGCGTTGGGGGGGGCCCCACGTAGACACGACCCGAGAGCCGACACCGTCTCTTTCGTACGCCGCGCCGAGGGCCGCGTCGGGGGTCTCTGCCACAGAGAAGCGCGCAACCTCCGCCCCTCTTCCTCGCTCACCCCATCGGCCGCCCGGACAGGTCCAATCGGGCAGGACGAGAGGGGGAGACTGGGAAAGGGGGGGTTGCGAAATCTGCTGCATGCAGCTGGCTTCGGCCCCACCGAGGGGCCACTTCCTCGATACATGGCCGCCTCCAGCGCCGGGAGGCGCCGGGAAAAGCAGCTACGTGAGCTGATTCTCAAATCCACCCTTTGCTATCCCCCCCTTTCGTCCGACCCGAGTCAACTTGGCATCGCTCGGACGTGTGCATCGTTTCTTCGTCGAGGACCATCGAGGAGCAAGCCTGGATCACCTGGCGAAAAGAGACCACGCACGAGACCCGCTCGGCCCGATCCAAGGCCACCAGGCGCGGTGCCGCGCCGCGGGGCCTCGAGGCGCGCCGTGGGGTTCTGGGCCGCTGCCCGCCCTCCCGGGGGGCTCTGGGCGGGGCCCGTATATAACCTCCGCCGCCCGAGGGCCCGCGGTCGTGGCCCCGCGCCTCGGGAGTGCGGCTGTCTCTGGACGGCGTCCGTGCATGGATCGGGTGCAGCCAGGACCCCGGGTAAGGGGACCCGGTTAGTGGTAGGGCCCTGGGGCCCCTCAAGGGGCAAGATTCACTAAACCAGGTTTTCCGTAATTGGTGTTTTTCGGGTGACGGCAGTTCCGGTTAGTGGAAATGGGGCGGGGGGGCGCCCCCAGTACAAATCACTAAACTAGGTTCCACTAAACCCAGTTCTGCCAACGCCCGAATGGACCAATGCGAGGGCGAAGGTTGCGCGCTCTGGTGCCCCCCCCCGCCGTTGCGCCCCCGCGGCTGGCGGGCCCGTCGTCGCGTCCGCTGGATTCGCTTCGAAATCCTAGTTAGAACGCACCCCAGGAGAGGTCCGGGGAGTAGCGCTATCCGTACCTTTTGGTGTCCCCAACTCCGGCAGGATGCAAGAGGGTGGCAGGGAAGCGCCAACGTCTTGCATTGACGACCACCCCCGTCTACCAGACCCACCTGGGCGGCGCGGATCCAAGGTCTGAGGAAAGGGAAGAAAAGCAGCAGCAGCAGCAAAAAGAGGGCGGAGGATCCCGAGGTGGAGCACTTCATCAGCGACCCGGACGCAAGGTCCAGGCACGACGGCCAGGCCGGCGGGAGCGTCCAGGCGCGCAATTTCGCCGCCCCGCCATCTGACCTCCGAGGATCTGGCAGTGGCGAAGCGTCCCAGCTCGCCTATCGGCCCACCAAAGACTGTTCTACGAACCTTTTTGTAGTTTGTACGAAATGTTCTTAGAACATTTCTGGCTGAGTCTGTCTTGTTTGAAACCATCGAGTTTATGTTCTAAGAAACTTGTTTTCGTTATTGGAGCATTTCTGGGTTCTAAGACAATTTCGTGGTAGGCCTATGGAATGCCGAAACGGTCGGTCCCTGCTCAACAGGAGGGCTGCAAAGGACCACCAGGGCGTCTGACGTACACATCCGTTCGAGGTTGCAGGCGGTCCAGAGAGGCCTCTCTGTCTGGTGTGTTGTTGATTTGGGGCTCTGGTAGGTTTTGGTTGTCGTTTTTTTGGGAGAGGAGTAGGAGGAGAGGAGAGGGATTGAACATCATAGGAGGGGAGATGGGCCCTGGAGATGAGGGGTTTTTGAAGGTCTTCGCTGTCCTCGGGCCTCTGTTGCGCTCCGCGGGCCCCAGGACGGTCGCGCGCAACTGCTCAGGAGCGCAGGCCCTTTCTCGGGGAGTGTCCCGGGGTCTGGGTCCCGATTGCCTCGGGACGTCTTCCTCCACGGCCAAGGGCGAGGAAGACGAGGAGGAGACTCGAGGAGGAGGAGGAGAAGGTGCGAGCAAGGGAAATCTTGGAAGCAACAATGATGCTGCTCTTGGCTTGCCTCAGCCTCGTTCTGACATGTATTGCCTGGCACCTTTTAGCGAGTCCAAGGGAATGCGACAGTACAGGATCATACAATTCAACAAGGTGTCCAGTGTGAGCCACGTTTTGAAAAGTACCCGTCCTTCAGTCTTCAAAATTGTTTCAGCATTGTCGGAAAAGAGTGCGCGGCGCTCAGGCGAGATGCTGCATTTTGAAAACGAGTGGGCCTACCATTGTTGGAGATATTGCACAATTTTAAGACGAGTATGCGCGGCGATACTATCGGCAAGAGTCCCATTGTGGAACATACGCCCATACATCTCTTGGCTCATGCTGCAATCGCTGAAATCTAGGTGGTCAGCGCCAAGGCGAGAGCCTCGTTTCGGAACGGTGCCCCCCTCCATGCGTGAAGCTGTTCTGGCCAAGTAGTGGTGTGGTTATGGTTAAAGCAAGTAGTCGAGGATAACCACACACTGAAATCTAGTCGCCGTCCAAATTAACCCTCTACCGAAATCCCCGTTTTGAAAACTGACGTAGCCGCCATCTTCTTCACCTGCAGAAGCAAGCTTTAAGCACGGATGTGCGCGGCGGTATGGCGAGAACTTGAGGTCAAAAATGATCGGCCTCCATCCTGAAGTTCTTTCTAACATTTGAATTTCGGGGTCGTAGATTGTGAGGAAGCCTCAAGCGAAACGCCCAGGCTGGCCTACCGAAATGCCTTGTGAGAGGAGGAGGAGGAGGAGGAGGAGGAGGTTTTCAAGGGAAAACGGGGTGGATATTCGGGGGGAGGGAGTTCCAGGAGGAGAAGGGGAGGTCTCAGAATCGAGTTAATTGAAGCCGCGTGTCCTTTTCAGGCGATCGCAAACATGGATCAGGGCGGGCGTGGATTAGCGACGGGTCCCGTTTCCATTGGAAATCGCGGATTTCCGCCGCCGAACGAGGCGGCACTTGCCGCATTTTGGGGAGGTGGTTGGTCAGCATTCGTTGGTGTGGCGCTCAGCTTCAAAGGCGAATACTATGGAAGCTTGGTCTTGGAAAGCGCTGGTGCTGCTTTGATTATTGCAGGCGTCGGGCACGACAAATCTGGGAAAACAATGGAACACATGAATATAGCGGACAGGAGCGGTTTCAGAGCTTGCTCGCCGTGTGCGAAGTGGCGGCCTTGTCGATCCAGTTGCCGTGGGTGGCTCCTACTCCAAATGGCTCCGAGGTGCTGCAAATGCGCGAGACTACATGGAGCGCTTGCGAAAGGCTGAGCACAAGAACGCTGAAGATGCTCTTCGCATGCTGCAACGCATCTCTGAGAGTTTTGGAGATGCGAAATCCACAGAGGAGGAGCTGAAGCGTCTCAATGATGCCGCTACTCACACCCCCACTGTCAATGTCAGGCGCAGATCAGTTCACGAATCAGAACAAACGGCACCCAAAAGGCTTCAACATTCTTTCCAAGAGGCCCCCGAATCGTGCCAAGAAGGTCCCATGACCACTTCAAGAAGCAATCCAGGATGCTCCGAGGAGGCCCCAAGAGGCCCCCAAGAGAGCCCCAGAGGCCCCCAAAAGGCCTCCAAGCGGCCTCAAGCATCATCCAGAAGGCCGGAAATAGGCCCCAAAGAGCTCAGCGGTCCAGGCGGGGCCGAACGAACATTTCCAGCCATGGTCGCCCAGAAGTCCAACAGGAAGCCCTAAGAGTTTGACCATCCAGCATAGACAGAACTTAAGCGTGCGCGAAGCGCACGCGATGGTTCTAATACCATATTTTCGGGTCGGCATCGCGCCTCCAAGAAGAACATCTAGTACTAGTATGTCTCCGTGCGTCCCACTGCTGCTTCTGCATCCCTCTGATCCCTCCTCCTCCAGGGCGTGCCTGGCACCTTGCCGCGGCCCCTCCGAGGTCCAGTTCGCCCCCGACGCGAGGCTGTTGCAGATCATCGCGAAACATGTGCGGAAGGTAGCGAGCGCGTCGGAGTCTTGCGTCGACAAGGACCTTTCCACCCCCCCAGTTTGCTCCTTCCCTAGAGGCACGAGGAGAATCGAGGAGACTTGAGGAGATTGAGGAGGAGGAGGAGGAGGAGGAGGAGCAGGAGCGATATAGTCAGGAAGTGCCTTGTTTGTTGTTTTGCCGTTTTTTGCCTCCGGGCGCCTTCGGTGAGTTCTGCGGCCCTCTGGGGCTCCCCCACAGATCGATCCCAGGATCCGAGAGGCATAGCAAACCTCTGCGGTCGAGAGATTTGGTCGTGGTTCTGATCATGGGGTTGTAATTTCGTCTCGGCGTCGGGGTCGGGTCGGGTGCCATTTCCTCTCGCTCCTCCTTGTCACTCTTTTTCTTCCTCCGCGCTCCACCGCTTCTTCCCCTCCCCCTTTTCCTCCTCTTCCTCAAATCCTGGTCCTCCCTGCTCCTCTCTCCGTCTCCTCCTCTCTCCTTCCTCCCCATCCCTCTCCGCCCCCTCCTCATCCTCAATCCACATCCCCCACGTCGTCATGTTTATGCAGTTGCTCTGGCCTCACTTGCCTCCGGCATAGGCAAACCAACACGGCATGGCTGCAGACACGTTTGATTGTTGCTCCGCATGGTCTGCAGACGTGTTGCCGATCAGCTTCTCGACTGCAAATCGCGCGCGGGGGCGCCAGGCGCCCGAAAGCGCCCGAGTGTGACCGCCATGCTGGCCCTGCCTGCTGTCGGAGGAGGAGGAGGAGCAGGAGCATGAATATGAGGAGGAGGAGGAGGAGGAGGAGGAGGATAATGAATAGGAGGAGGAGGAGGAGGAGGAGGAGGAGGAGGAGGAGGAGGAACATGATTAGGAGGAGGAGGGAGCGCTGGGGCACCTGGGGGCGCAGGGGGAGCGCATGGGTCGCATTTTGGGGGCGCGCGTTGGCGACCAGGGGGTGCTCGGCATGCCTGCGGAGCGCCCAGGCGCGTGAGCAGCGCGCGGAGGCGTGAAGGAGCGCCTGGGGGTGCGCGGGCGGTGCCCGGGAGAGAGCCCCGGGGGCCGCCTGCAAGCGCATGGCTCGGGGGGCGGCAAAGAGGAGGGTGATGACCAGGGGGGGGGGGAAGATATCATGGCGGGGGCCACGATACCTCCCACGATTTCGTGGCGCCTCTGTTTATTTCAATGCGTCCCTGGCACCCCCCTGCGCCGCGCACATGCCGCCGGCCATGATTTGCGCCCCCCCCCCTCTTGGACGCCCCCCTCTTGGACGCCACCGAATGGCGGGGCGTCCGCGAGGGGGGGGGGTGTTGTGGGGGGAGGAGCAGCAACGTGGCGAGGACATGATCCTGCGAGTCGCAGCGTTTGCGAGGACAGAGATCGACCTGGCTCGAAACATGCCGCAGAAAGATGGTCGGTGACGAGTAAGGGGGCGAAGTGAGAAGGAGAAGGCCTTCTCAGAAGGCGGCGGGGCTTCTCAGAAGCCCTCGGGACTTCTGAGAAGTGTTCTGCCTCTTCGGGGAGAGCTAAGAGCGCTGCTCAGAAGGCCAGGGGACTTATGAGCCCTCTGCGAAGGTCTTCTGCTTCTCACTTCCCCCCTGGGCTCGCCGCAGAAAGATGGGGTCCGGAGTCCGGTCCTGATTGTTCACAGTGCTGCCATTTTGCCGCGACGCCGGATCTCTCAGGAGGACGACGCCTAGAGCGCCCGTGGGGGCGGCCGCAGGACCAGCAGAGGGACATCCAAGAGAGGCGCGCCGCATCAAGCAGAGGCGAAGCGTCCTGGCTTACCTACAGGCCCACCAAAGCATGGTCTGAGAAGCTCCGGTGGTTTGCACGGCCTTTTCTCATATCATGCCTAGCTCAGACTCTCTCGTTCAAATACATCGGGCTCATGTTCTGAGAACGTCGCTTCTGCCTTTGGAAGATGTATCGGTTTTAGAACCATGTCGTGGTAGGCCTCTAGGAATGCCTGGACGGTCGGCTCCTGCGCAAACCGCCCCCTCTGCCCCCTGGGCGTGGGCGGTGTCCCCTGGCCCCTCGGGCTCGGGCCCCTTCCCGCCGCAGGCTTCTGGCGTCGTGAGAGACAGGGGCGCCCCTCGAGGGCGCGGCGCTTCGCGGTTCGGCTCCTGTTCCTCCTCTCGGGGGTGGACAGACCTCCTACCTTGACACGTCGATTAGCGAATTGGCCGTCTTCGGTTCGCGAGAGGGCGTCGCGGCGTCATTTTTGCGGGTCCAGGTCCGTCGGTTTCAGTCCCACGCCGTTTTCACTAAAGGGAGGTTTACTAAAGGGAGGTTTCTCCACCGCCGATCCTCGTCCTCCTCTTCTCCATTGGGGGGCGGGCGCGGGAGCGCGAAGCTGTCCGCGCTCCGCCCAGCACGATCGCGCGGAGTGGGGCCCTGGAAAGGGAGGCCCGCGAGCCCGTTCGGGCCTCCTGAGGTGGCTTCTCGTCGCCATGGCTGGATTCGCCTCGAAGCCGAAGCCCGGGTCGCGCCGCATCCCCAGGGAGAGGCTCGTGGGAAACGCTTGATCTGTTGGGCTTCGCCCTCCGCCGCCCCCACCCCCCCTCCCCCCCCGAGATTGCCTGCGTGTCCGCGAGTGGTCGGTGTGTCGTCAGGGGCGGCCTACGGCAGGTTCGCGTCGTGCCGACCAGCGGCGACCCCACCGCGTGCGCTTAACCTTGAACGCCGCCCTTGGCCCAGAATCGGCACGTCGTTGAACGATCCGGCGTTCACGGAACATCCGGTCGTTCAAGTTGGAACGATCCCCACGGGAGTCAGGAACTAACGCCGGGGTCGACACGACACGATTTTGCCGTAACAGACCCTTGGCAAACCATTCCCTTGCGTGACGTCCCACTCGCCTCGCCCCAAGACGTATGTATGCGGCGCGAGGGAGGCTCGAAAGGCGAGGGTGACGTCACGGAAGGGGGATGGTTTGCCAGGGGTCGGTTAGGCCGCGCCCGATGTTTTGTTTGTTTTCATGTTGGTTCGCTGGCTGGTACTTCTGGTGGTCGGCTTGCTGTCTTGGCTGATTGCTGGCTGGCTGGTTGGGCGCATCTGCAGTGAGCAATATGGGTTGGCGGCCTTGAGACCGCGCAGCTTTCGCAATTGAAAGGGCATGGGTGCCTCGGGAGCACGCGCATCGTAATGTGTACAGAATTGCGGTCTCGTGTGCGCGAGTGCGTTGCAAGTTGGCCGTAATTTCTTAAGGGGTTGGGGGTCCGGAAGTGAGCATCTATAGTTCTTCTACGTGTCCCACCACCCAGCGTTGTCGAGGATATTTCGGGGTGGTAGCGCATTCCTTTTCGGCCAGGGGGGTCGCGCGTTATTCAATTTTCCTAGTTTGGAACGAGGAAAGTTTGACCCATAACGTCTGAAATCCTAGAAAAGAGAATCTGCACTGGAACTGGCATTGGAACTGAGGAGCTGAGGACTGTTGCAGTGTGCAGAAACTTGAGCTTTGCAGCCTGGTGGCCCCCCAGGGGGCCGGCGAATCCTCGAACCAAGACCTCGTCGCAATGTCAAGAGAATCGTGGCGGAAGGTCCTCTCAATGTTCGGCCTACCAGGGCCTTCGCCGGACCACCGGGCCGTCAATGAACGAGTCGGGATCAGGAGCCTGTCTTTGGGCAAAGGTCCTGACCTCTTAGGGTTGGAACATTCACAATGTCGGATTTGTTTAGCTTCGGCATCAAGGGGCTGGTTTCCCTTGCCTCCCTCTGGAAGGGACGGATGATGATGTCTGTGAGGGAAACCTCGATAGGATTCCAGTCAGTTTGAAACCAGAGGTCCTCAGCCGAGCTGAGAAGAAGGCGAGGCAACCGATCTCGTTTGACGTCGAGTGGTTGGTGTTTGCGTTCCACAGTGGTCTCCGCTCCACGCCTCTCCCCAAACTTCCTCTTCACTCCTCTCTCTCCCTCCCTCTGAGTATTTTTACTATTAGCATTATCCTAGTATGTTTCTTTCTCTCCTCTCTCCTCTTCCCCTCTCTCCCTCCGTCTCCCTCTCTCGCTCTCCCGCTCCATCCCCCCGTTCCCTCGCTGCTCTCCCTGATGTACCAGGCTTTCCGAGTACAGCACGTTGGTCAAGGAGCAGGCCCCGTGCGCGGGGGCGTGGGCAGGAGTCCGAGGAAGAAGGGAAGAAGCAGAGACTCGGTGCGAGCTCGGCATCATGCAGACGTGCAGGGCATGCGACGGATGGGCGACGACTCGCTCCACCGATTACATGCACTCATGTTTCAGTATGTTTGCACATAAATACACATACATACAGATACACGTGTATACATACATATACACATATATGTATATGTACATATAGGTATGCGTTCATATATATATATATATATATATATATATATATATATATATATATACCGATATGTATATGCTTACATGCACATATTTGTGTGTGTCGCCATGGCATCTCCATGGAACATACAAACTTCTACCGCATCTCAACCTTCGCGCCGAGCAGTTTTGGGGTCTCCCGAGGTCTCCCGAGGTCTCCGTCGCCAGAGATCCTGGAAGGCTTGTATTCCAGGGAGACCTTGAGAGGCCTCGAGGAGATCTGAGGGCCAGGCATGCCTTCATCACACGCGCGCGAGACAACGAACACCAGCGTGCCCCTCTCTCGACATTTTCACTAGAAGGACGAGGAGGCCTCCTGAGGCATGCCACTGCGCCACATGTGCAGCGCTTTTTCATGGCAAAGGACCCGACCATTTGCAATTGTCAGTACACAAGGCAGGTGGGACGAAGAAGTGGGAGCTCCTGGGGGGCCATAGGACGTGTGAGGGGTATGCCGACATGAGCGGGGGGGAGCATGTGGACACCGCCGCGAGGCCCTCGGTGGAGTTCCCTGGGGGCAGGCCACGGAACGTGCGAGGGGCGAGCCAAAGTGGTCTGGGGAGACGCATGTACTCACACCCATTGGGGCCTTCGGTGGAGCGCCTCTGAGCTCGTGTGGGAGCGCCTGGAGAGCGCAAGGGAACGCTTGGACACGCCGTACTGGGTGGCGCGGGACGCATGTGGTCACAGCCACTGGGGCCTTCGGTGGAGCTCCCTATGGGGCCACGAAGCGCCGTACTGGGTGGCGCGGGACGCATGTGTTCACAGCCACGTGGGCCTTCGGTGGAGCTCTCGTGGGCCACGAAGCGCCGTACTGTCTGGCCCGGGACGCATGTGGTCACAGCCATTGGGGCTTTCGGTGGAGCTCCCTATGGGGCCACGAAGCGCCGTTCTGGGTGGTGATGGGCGCATTTGGTCACAGCCACTGGGGCCTTCGGTGGAGCTCCCTATGGGGCCACGAAGCGCCGTACCGTGGTGGCGCGGGACGCATGTGGTCACAGCCACTGGGGCCTTCGGTGGAGCTCCCTATGGGGCCACGAAGCGCCGTTCTGGGGTGGCGTGGAACGCATGTGGTTACAGCCACTGGGGCCTTCGGTGGAGCTCGCTATGGGGCCACGAAGCGCCGTGCTGGGTGGCGTGGGACGCATGTGGTCGCAGCCACTGGAGCCTCTCGGGAGCTCCCTATGGGGCCACGAAGCGCTGTACTGGGTGCGCTGAAATGGTGGACATGCAGAGGGCAGCGGCAACGGTGGGAGGAGGGGGGCGAGGAGAATAGGAATCCGGAAGAAGAGGATGATGAGGAGGAGGAGGAGGAGGAGGAGGAGGAGGAACGCGGGGCGCTGTCTCAACGAGGACCAGACACCGCAGGACGGCTGGAGAAAATACGAGGGGGACCGAGGACCTCCTGGAATGCGCCTCCCCGAGGTCTCTGGAGGGCCTCTGACGAGGCTTTCGCGGAAGCCCACGAGGAGGCCACGAGCGTACCAGGCCCTCGATCTTGTATGGAGTCGGATTTTCCATACCCGTCGCCTGAGAAACCTGTCTTCCTGGACCTCGAGAGGCGGCGGGTATGGATCGTGTCCGCCGCCCCTGGGGGTCCCAGGGCATCGCGCGAGCGTCCACCCCTGCGATCAGACGCTCTTTCACCTGTGCTTCCGCCCCAGAGCTCGGGCGGTGCACTCACCCCACCGCCATGGCGGTTCTCTCGCTGCTCCTCCCTCCCTCACTCCCTCCTCCCCCCACCGTCCTTCCATGGCGCCTCTGCCATACCGCATGACGCATCACTGTTTCGCCAATTCAATGTCTGATGCATCTCCGGCCTCTCCGTGCGCGTCGCGCACTATGGAGCCGTCCCGCTGGACGGACGTTTGGCCGCCGTTCTGCTTTGCTCCACCGTCATGACGACGTGGAGGGCGGATCTCCCAGCCATTTCTTGCGTATCCTGGTTTCCCGGGTTTGGGATCAGGCACCTCCTAGAGCTCAGATGGGAATCTGAACGGAATGGAGTTCGGTCGCAGGGTTGAGCTAGTTGGCCGACCCGACGAGAGCAGACAATGTGACGACTTGCCCTGCAAAAGTCGGGCACTCCGCGGCCGCGAGGAAAGGAGCATGAAGGAGGCCGAGCAGCAGGGCGTGGCGAAGCGGCCAGGCCCTGCGCCAGATGGCTTGCGGCCGCTGCCGACGGTCTTCGGTCGCCGTCGTCGCTCCTCGGCGGCGGCAGCAGCAGGGGCGGGCAGATGCGTGGGGTGCCCAAAAATATACACCACCACCGCCACCGCCACCACCGCCACCACCACCGCCACCGCCACCACCACCGCCACCGCCACCGCCACCACCACCGCCACCACCACCGCCACCACCACCGCCACCACCACCGCCACCACCACCACCGTCACCCCCTCCCTCTCCCAGGAAAGAGGAGAGGAAGAGGAGGGCAGAGGAGGGAGGAGGAATCGACGCGGAGGTTGTGTGTATTCTTGGGACCCCCCTCTGCGTGTGCCCACGGGCGCCGATCGTCCACGCATTCGGCGAGGCTCCCTGAGGGGGAGACGGGTAATCCCCCCCCCCCCCCGAAGCGATCCGCCGCCTGTGCCCCCTCCGCCCCCCCAGTCGCTGGTGCAGGATCGAGGGTCTCGGGTCGGGGCGCGCGTACCCGGGGGGTCAGCGCCGACGGGGGTCGGACGACCCCCTCCGAGGTCCTCCCTGGTGCCACGCAGCCAAGACGGACAGCACGGATTGGATGCACGGCTCTCCAAGGTTCCCCCTTGCATCCTTCCTTTTGCGGCCCGCCCCTGAAGTCTCTCGTTGGCCGTGCCCCGCTCGAATGGCGTCGACATGGCCGTCCTCCAAGGCCCTGGGCCTCCTTATCGTGCATCCTCCTTGTACGCGTTGTCTGACTGTCTCGCCCGCCCCCTCCCTCCCGTCCCTCCGCCGACCCGGGGTGTGAGTTCATATATGCGGCCGGCCAGTGTTCTGACTTGGGTTGGCGCTGGCCCGGGCTGGCGCGTCTTCGGTTGGCCGAGGTCGCCATTGCCGCCGCCGCCATCGTTCTCGTTGCCGGCGTTGCCGCTGCCGCCCTCGTCCTCGCCGCCGTCTAGGACGGAGCTCCCGGGACGCCTTGGGGCCGCTGGAGGCCCCCTGGGCTTCCGCGCGAGCCCGCATGCTGCCACCGAGCTCGAAGGATGGCCTGGACCCTGATGTCTTTTACTATTCGCGGTAACGCACGTGACCGCGCAGCCCCCTCTTTCCTGGGCCTCCTCGAGCCATGAACCAAAAACGACTGGAGGTTTTTCTCAGTTTTGCCATCTGGAGGCCCTTACCGGGCCTCGGTGCTGTCAAGAAACGACTCAGCATGAGAAATCAGTCTCGGGGAATAGGTCGAGACCTCGGAGGGTCGACGCAGTGAAGAAATCATGACGTCGGGGGTTTGGGTCACCCCTCCCCCCTGGTGACGTTGCGATTCGCGCCGGCGCCGTCTGGGAATGAGCCGTTCTGAGGCATTCCCAGACGGCGTCGGTGCGAATCGTGACGTGACCCGGGAGCATTGAGACGGGGTCAGTGCAAACGGGAGCATTGACAAGGGGGTCATTGACCCGGGAGCATTGAGACGGGGGTCAGCCAGAGCGCTGGATTTTGCAGCATACTGCAGAGCCAGGGGTGCATTAACACGGGCTTGCACGCAGGATCCTGCAGCATCTTGCAGGATCCTGCAAGTCCTGACCGATCCGGGTTTGCATTGGTCCGGGTCAGTGCGTCCTCGACCCCCTGCACCCCAGTGACGCCCGTTACCGCCAGGGGGAAACATGGTGTCTGGCCAGGCAGCCCCATTGCGCTACAGGATCGATAGGCATGCCAGGATTTGGGAAGCCCACGTTGACGCCCCTTGAGCGACAACGCCCAGCGATAATGGCAAAACATGGCCGAAGGTGCAAGGATTAACGGTGCCCTCAGAACGCTGCTCATCCTCATGTTCCTGTTTGACTGTGCAGCATCTGGATGAAGCGTCTCGGGGCGTTCCGTCGTAGCGCTCTCGGGGCGATCAGGGGCGCTCTGGAGCGGCTGCGGCGCTGGCCGCGTGGTTGCGTCCGTTAATTACGTTTTCCAGGCCGCTGGCTCTCAGAGGTCGCGGATTGTCCGTGCCTGAGTTCGTCAGGCCGTGCGTCTCCCTCCCCCTCGCCCTTCTTGCTCCCCTCCTCCAGCTCGCCCTCTTGCTCTTCCTCTTCCTTTTCCCCGCCATTGCGTGGTCTCGGAGATCGACGCGACCAGAGGGTGAAGCCCCACCGTCGTGTTTACCTCAATCGTCTGACGGCGGGCCTGTGGTCGAAGCAGCTTAGCGATGTTGAGCAGCGAAGCCGTGGTCTCTAATCTGTCTTCCAGCGACTTTGTCGGATAGCTCGATCTTCGATACCAATCCCCCTTTCTCAGGAGAAGAAACAACACACAGACATAATCAATCGTCGACTCCCAGGACAATGTGGGAAAAGATGGGATTTTGGAGGGAAAACAAGAACCCAGAATGTATATACAAAAATATGTTGTTTGTTGCGTGCGCGTATTTATTTGTGTGCCCTAGGGCCCCTTCACTTTCCCCCTTCGGGGCGCCAGAGTCGAGGGGCACTGCGAGCACAGGCGCCCGGAGCGCCCGCGGCCCCGCTTGGCCGCGTCCCGGCTCCTCGGGCTCCTGGCGCGGCAGGCGAGGGCACGGGGCAACGGGGGCAGGGGGGAGACCCCGAAGGCAGGAGGCCATGGTTCAGGAGGGGAAAAAATATACAGACACAATTGATCGTCGACCTGGGAAAATATGGCAAGTGGGGGGGGGAAGACAACAAACCAGAAAATATGGGGAAAATATGGGGAATCTGATTATTTGTGTCTATTTTTAAATCGCCTTCGCTCATTCCGCCGGCCCTGGAGCGCTATTTGAGGCCTCTTGGTGCTGTCTTGGGGGCATCTTGAGGGCTTCTTGGGAGCGTCTTGGGGCTCCTTGGCGGCGTCCTGGGCTCACCTGGAGCCTCTTAGGGGGCTTTTGCGGGCCCCTTGGGGCGGGAGGGGGGGTAGTCGATTGCAGCCACCCCCTCGGAGGCCACGATCCTCGTGAAGGGTGGCGAAAAATAGCCTCCCCGCTGGGGATCGCCCGGGACCCGGCCGGGGGTCAGCCGGGGTACTTTTCGTCCGGGGGCCCTCAGAGGCCGCCCCGCGAGCGCGAAGTAGAAATATTGTTAAGTAGTTATTGGAGATCTTAGCACGCCTCTGGCCCGTTGGGCCGGCGAATTTGTGTGTCCCACTTCCCCTTCATGGAAGCCCGCGGTCGCCCGCGTGGTGCGAGCTGTAATCTCCCACTCGTTGCTGCTTGCCGTCTCGGAGGTCCGGTGCTCGCGTTTCTGGCGGTGCTGTTGTTCGCGGAGCTCGTGGCGCTCGGGGTCCGACTCTGAGGGTGAATGGTTGAGTCCAAGATATAAGGACTCTTCCGATCCGATTCCGATTCCGATTCCGATTCCGATCTTCTGATGGCTTCCGATTCCGAGTCAGTTCGACTCCGGATCCCGATTTGGGCCACGATTTCGCAATGGAGGCCTGCTCGGCTGCCGAATTCCGCCGATTCGACTTTTCCCGACTCGGCTGCCGATTTCCGCCGATCCGATTCATTTCGATCGCCGATCCGACTTATCGAGTCGACTCTGGGGGCGCCTGCCAAAGCCCTCGTTGCCGGACGACGATCTTCATGCATAGTTTCTGCCCCTGGCCAGTGGGGCCTGGCAGCATTTCATCTCAGGGAAGGTACCCATACCGCTCCCCTTTGCCCGTTTTTTCCCCTTTTCGGGCCTACGGGGACGCCATCGTCGCCATCGCGAAGTTCTGGTCAGAACGCACCCCCGGCAGAGGTCCGTGCAGCAGCGGCTCTGGTACCTCTTGGTTTCCCCAATCTTTGCCCTCCCGGCCAAGCCAGGGGGGCGGGAGGAGGAGGAGGAGGAGGAGGAGGAGGAGGAGGAGGAGGAGGAGGAGGAGGAGGAGGAGGAGGGGGACCTCCTCCCGTCTCCCACGCTTTACCTATGGTGGCGGTGGTGGGAAATTTGCCCGTCCTGGTCATGACGGCGATGAAGGGGATGACGGCGCCGGTGGTGTCGGCAAGGTTGCGACGACGACGACGACGACCACGGTGATGACGGCGACGGTGGCGGCCTCCGTCGGTCCCCGGGTGCCCCCGGAATCCCCCTGCAGGCTCGGAGGCCGCTGCGCAGCATCCGAAAGCTGCCACAGGGCCTCGAGCCTCGACGGCCTCGACGGGCCCGCCGATCGCGGCCGGCGCCAGCGTGCGGCTCTCGAAGCCTGGGCCCAGAGGTGCACGAAGCAAGGACGGCGAGCTCGGCCTTGGGCCGCAGAGGTCTGCCCCCGTTCCGCTCCGTGCCTTGGACCTCACGGCTCGGATGCCGGCGCCTGCCGTGAGGACGAGGACGAGGGCGGCGGCAGAAATGTGTCGGGGCCTCGGGAGGCGACACCAGCAAGGTCCCGTGCCTCAATGAGTAGGTTTCCGCCATGAAGGCCTCCGTGCCTCGTGGTGCCGGTGTCGACCTTCTGCCCTGCCAGAAGGTCCCGGGACGAGGAACCACGAAGACGACGGTGGCTTCGGCAACGTCAGCGACCACGACTGACGGCGACGGCGGTGACGGCCTCGACCTCGGCGCGCTGGGCCGCGGGCCTCCCCGAGGCGGCGGGCTGTGGCAGCCGCAGGCCCTGGCGCTCGCCGGCGGCCCCGAGCGGTCGGGCTGGCGCTCCAAGTCCAAGGCCAGGGGGGGGGTCCCTCGGCGCCGCGCGAGGGGCCCTCTGCACGGTGGTTACAGCGTGGGCCTCCCAAAGGGGGACCTGAGCAGATGGGATCAGAGGGTCTCGCCTCGTCGCCCATGCATCGGCGACGCGGCGCGATTCTCCGACCCCATCTACCTGGACGCGTGCACAATCCTGGTGCCTGTGTAGGTCTCAAGGCGGCCCTGGACAGGCACGGAGGTAAAGTGTAGGTGACAGCAGGTGGGTATTGCGTAAGGTCAGGAGGGGAACTATCCTGGCGAAGGACCCAACCAGATGCAGTTGTGGGTGCCGTAATTTTAAATATCTTCTTCGGTGAAGCTCCCTTATGGGGCCACGAAGCGCTGCACTATGTGGTGGGGGAACGCATGCGGGCGGTAGAACTGGGGCCGTCGGTGGAGCTCCCAATGGGGCCACGAAACGTTGCACTGGGTGGGTGAAAATGCCAAATTGGGTGTGTGGGACGCACGCGGGCGGTCCCACTGGGGGCTTCGGTGAAGCTCCCTATGGGGCCACGAAGCGGTGTATCGGGTCGGTGAAAATGCCAAATTGGGTATGTGCGACGCATGTGGGCGGTCCCCGCATGCGGGCGGTCCCATTGGAGGGTTCTGTGGAGATCCCTATGGGGCCACGAAGCGGTGTATTGGGTGGGTGAAAATGCCACATTTGGCGTGTGAGACGCATGCGGGCGGTCCCACTGGGGGCTTCGTTGTAGCTCCCTATGAGGTCACGAAACGTTGTAGTGGGCTGGTGAAAATGGGAATGTGTGTGTGTGTGTTTGTGTGTGTGTGTGTGTGTGTGTGTGTGTGTGTGTGTGTGGGGGGGACGCATGCGGGCGGTCCCCACTGAGGGTTTCGGTGGAGAGATCCTTATGAGGCCACGAAACGCTGTACGGTGAGTGAGAATGCCTCATTGGGTGTGTGGAACGCATTCGGGCGGTCCCATTGGGAGCTTCGGTGGAGCCCCCTATTGGGCCACGAAGCGCTGTAGTGGGTGGGTGAAACGCAGGGAGGAGGAGGGAGGATGTGTTGGGCGCGTGCGGGCGGCCCCGCTGGGACCTTCGGTGGGGCCCCCCATGGGGCCATGAACCGTTGTACTGGGTGGGCGAGACGCAGGGAGGAGGGGGAGGAGGGGGAGGGGGGGAGGAGGACAGGAGAGGAGAGGAACGCGGGGCACCGTCTCTTCAAAACGAGGACCCAACACCACCAGATGTTTGGAACAAAGTGCACATCGGCATAAATAAGCGGTCGATTCCCAGGACAATGTCGGACACTATGGTTAATGGAGGGGATAACGACACTCCAGAAATTATTTGAATATCTAGAGAATCCGGGGGCGTATGTTTATTGATGTGTGTGTGTGTGTGTCCTTGGGCCTTTTTTTTCATAGTGAAGCGAGGGGGAAGAGGGAGGAGGTCAGCGTCTCTCGGAGGCTGTTTGTTGCAAGGTATTTGCTCAATCGGTTTGGCCACTTGGGGGGGGCGGTCCCGAGGAACTTCAGGTATTGGGGGACTTTGGAGACATCTGGATCCGCTGAAGCAGACCCATGCCCCACGGCAGTTAATTCAAGATACAGCTAATTATGAAACGTGTGTGAGTATGTATGTCTACACATATATGGCCGTGTACACATGTGTATGTTCATACGAGGGGGGTGGGTAGGCCTATCGCCGTCCTGCTACACGTAGCCTCTTATGGTTGAAGTTTGGCGGGGATTCGGGCGGTCCCCGCGCCGTCAGCACAGCCCCGCCAGCCCCCGCGCCCAGGGCGCATCCGAGCGCCGGTCCGAGCGCCTTGCGAGGGCAGCGCGCGAGGGGTCGGGCGGCACCAGGCGTTGCCCGATGTGGATCGCGCCGCGGGAGGGGAGGCCGCGGCGCGATCCAGGCCGCGTGGGCGACGCGCGCGGGGGTGGGGGCGGCGGAGGCGACGCTGGCGGCGAGCCGGTGGGTCCCGCTCTCGCCGAAACAGCGTGCGGGGCCCATGCATGGCCGAGGTCGTGGACGACGGGGACGACGTCGATGAGCTGGACGAATTCCCCGCCCCAGGCCCGCGGGCCCGCTTTGCGGCGGCTGCAGGCGCCGACCAGCTTTCAGTGGAGGACGTGGAGCTGGTCGCGCTGCTGGACGGAAAGCTGTACGCGCCCGCCGGCTACAGCAACGCCCAGGAGGTGCAGTGCCACTTCGCGTGGGTGTGCCAGCGGCATTCGCGCTGCGGCAGGCTCGCACGCGTGAGGCTGCTCTGGGGCCACGACAGCTATTGGGACTGGTGGTCGCACTGTGCGGGCGAGCGCGGTGCGATCTCGCCCATGCCCCTTTTGCACATCTGGGAGGGTCCCGCGCCGCTGTGCGAGGCCGAGCTGCCGCCGAACTGCACGGAGCCGGTCCACACTTCGGAAGTGGTGCGGCTGACGGTCAAGGCGGCGGCGGAGCTCTGGCTGCAGCACTGGGCCACCAACCCAGGTGCTGCGTGGCCGCAGGACCTGCTGGGGCCGCCGCCTGGGGCCGCTCGGCCTGCCGAGGCGCCCGCCGCGGGCGCCCACCCGTTCGAGGACCTCTTCGGCGAGCTGGACGAGGAGCCCTCCGCGCCCAGCGGGGTGACCGCCCTGCGCTCGCGGCTCATGGAGTCGAAGGGCCGCTTCGCAGCGCTGCGGGGCCGCGACAAGGGTGCCGCCCCCCTCGCCGAGGACGCGGCCAAGGTCAAGCGGCCGCTGGTGGAGGTGCTCTCGGATCGCGCCGCGAATGTTGCTCGCGGGCCCAGGGGCCGAAGCTGCTGGCAGCGCCTCCCCCGTCCGACGGAGGCGCGCGCGGGGCGCGCGATCGGGGGCCGACCGAGGACGCGGTGGCCACGGCGGGCGCCTCCAGCGCGGCGCAGGACCTGGCGGGCGCCCTCGCGCGGCTGCTGGGCGGGCGCCAGGGCAGCAGCGAGGAGATGGGCCTGGAGGGCGTCGCGGGCGCGGACGAATCTCTGACTCGCGCGGGTTGATGTCCAGGCGGGCTCAGTGCCGCAGGGTAGCCACCGAGCACAGTCGGGGCCCTGAAGAAGGAACCCTTTTCGTTGGGGAGGGGCTCCGCGTTCCTTAAGTGTTCCAAAGCTTGCCTCAGGCTTCCCTTATGCTTTCGACCGGAAATCGAAGATTCATTTACGAAAAAAAAGGGGCTCGTTCCTTATCTGAGGCTCCTTAGGTCAACGCCCCGACTGTAGCCCGGGCGCCTCGCCGAGGCGAGCTTGGCCCAGATGGCGGACATCCTCGGCGGCGCGCAGGAGGGGGGGGGCGCCGTCGACCCGCAGGGCGCGACCGTGCTACGGCGGCTCCTCGCGGTGTACCTCCCGCAGCACCCCGTGCGGGAGATCGGCGTGCCCGCGTGCCGCGAGTTGTGGGTGCTCGCCGAGGCGCTCGACCTCTTGGTGCAGGGGCGCTCGGCGGCGGTGGCGGACCTGCTCGCGCAGCGGTTCAAGGCGCTCCAGGTCGCGCTCCACGACGGGAATTGGTCGGGGGCGAAGTGGCCGGAGCTCACCCCGCCGCGCGACGAGCCCACCGCGCTGCGGAGCGAGGAGGAGGAGGAGCTGATCAGGAGCATTCAGGCGGGCGAGCTCAAGTTGGGCGAGATGACCGCCAAGCTGCGCAAGCCGGGCCAGGGGTCTGGACGGGGCGAGGGGGGGTCGCCGCCTCGCCCTGCAGGCCCTGCGGGGGGGGGGGGGGGCGCGAAGGCTGCTCCGCCGCCGCGGCCTCCAGCGGCGCTGGGAGACGAGCTGCCCGAGGCGAAGGGTTCGAGGGCCCCTCGCGCCGCGCAGGCGGGAAAGGGGGGCCGCGCGGGCGCGTGGGCCGACGCGCGCGCTGCGACCCCGAAGAAGAAGGGCGCGTCGAGCAAGGGGTACCAGGCTCGCCTTGCGAGCGTCGTGGCCGAGCTGAAGAAGAAGGGCCCCCCTGCCCAGACGGCGGCCCGCGCCCCCTGGACGGCGAAGCGCTGAGCGCCGCCCCGCCCGAGGTGCTGGTGTCGGGCGTGGCCCGGGCCCCCCCTGCTCGCGGCGAAATTGGCGAAGGTGTAGCAGCGCCGAGCGCCGCCAGCGGGGGGCAGCATCGCGGTGCGAGGGCGGGCGACGCGCTGCCGCCGCTGGAGCTGGGCGCTGCCCTGGCCGAGACGGTCGCGCCGCGGGCCAGCGCTGTCGGGGCCGAGGCGGCGCTGCCGGAGTCGTTGCCGCTGAGCGAGGTGTCGAAGAGCATGGCGGCGCGGCGCAGGAGGTCGCTGGCCGAGTTTGGTCGGCCTACGCGGCGGGGCGACCCGGCAGTCAAGCTCGCGGGGGTCGCGCAGCTGCATCCTGGCACCCTGGGTCGTCTCGCAGGGCAGGCGCCCCCATTCGAGAGGAGTGGCGCGAAGGCCCGAGTCCGGGACCTGCTGCCGCTGCATCTCCCCGCCCCTCGAGGAGGTTGCGAAATCGGCCCGGGCCGCCAAGGGCTCGCGGCGTCGCCTCGCGCCCGTAGCCAGGGCGGTCGCGGCTGAGGCACGGGCCCACATGAGTGCACTGGGCCTCAACCACATGCACTGCGGGGTCGCTCGGGAATCGCTCCGACTCGGAGCGACGCCGACGCTGGCGCAGGAGACGGCCATGCGGCGCATTCGCTCACGGGCGGCGGAGTTTGCCCAGCAGCCTTTCGAGACCGTGGCCGTCGCATATATGGGCGACGCGGTCGCGACCTCGTCAGTGGACTACAGCGGGGAGCCCATGATGCGCGCCCTCGCGGAGCTTGCCCCTGGCCTGCCGAAGAGGGAGCACGCGGCGACCCCGGGCGCGATCGACGTCGTTGGCGACGAGGTGGCTCGTTGGCTGGCCGACCCCACGCTGGCTCTCAAGGCGGAGGAGGACCCCCTGACCCCCTCCCGATGGCGCGGGCCAACGTCGGCTCGCAGTTCGAGTGGGAGGCCTTGGCGATGCACCTCGTGGACCTCGGGATCTTCGCCGTGCTTCCCGCCGAGAAGCTGGTCCGCGTCCGCGGCGAGCCTCTGCTGAACGGGCTCTTCGCTGTGGAGAAGAAGGGCGCGCCTGGGCCTGGGGCCAGTCGCGTCGCGAGGCTCATCCTGAACATGCTGCCTGGCAACGCGCCCATCGAGCCCCATCATGGGGAGGCGGCCATGCATGCTGGATCCACGAGCTGGGTGTCGCTGCACATCCCCGAGGGGGAGCTGCTCCTTTCGTCGGGCGACGACCAGAAGGGGGCCTTCTTCGTGTGGCGCGCGCCCCGGCCCTCACAACTGACACCCGCTTATATTAGAAAGCTCTTGCGCCTAGATATTAACGGCGGACAGGTCCATGCGAATAGATGGACAAATGGGGAGCTCCACGCAGTGAATCATTAGTTTTTGGCCTCCTCCTGCTCTTCCTTTTTCCTCGTCTCCTACCCTCTCCTCCTCATACCCAGACATACTCATACACACGACTGACTCACACTCAAACTTATTCATGCCCAGGCTTACTCACACAGAGAATTATTCATACTGAGACCTACTCATATTCAGATCTGCTCCTATTCAGACCAGACTTACTCATTGTGAGACGCACGCACGCCCCGTTCGCGGCCGTTTTGCGGGGAGGCCTCAAGCGGTTTGTTTGTTTTCTGTCCCAACACCCTTCGTTTTCGGAACAGATTTGGAGGATGTCTCGAGCGAGGCGCTCATTTTCACGTCCCGAAGGGGAGCCGCCGAAGGGTATTGCACGGTCCCGTTCGCGGCCGTTGTGTGGGGATGTCTCAAGCGGTTTGCTTGTTTTCTACATCCTTTGCTTTCGGAACAGATTTGGAGGATGTCTCGAGCGAAACGTTCATTTTCATGTCCCTAAGGGGAGCCGCCGAAAAGGGTATTACACGGTCCCGTTCGCGGCCGTGTTGTGGGGATGTCTCAAGCGGTGTGCCTGTGTTCTGTCCCAGCGTCTTTCGCTTCCGGAACAGATTTGGAGGATGTCTCGAGCGAGGCGCCCACTTTCACGTCCCAACGGGGGGCCGCCGAGGGGTACTGCACGGTCCCGTTCGCTGCCGTTGTGTGGGGATGTCTTAACCGGTTTGTTCGTGTTCTGTCCCAACGTCCTTCGCTGTCGGAGCAAATTTGGAGAATGTTTCGAGCGAGGCGCTCATTTTCACCCCCCAGGTGGGCCAGATTTTGAGGATGTCTCGATCGGTTTGCCTGTTTTGGTGGCCAGGCTCGTGGGCGCAGATTCTCGTCAGGATGCCACAGGAGGCTCCAACAGGCTCCAGGAGGGCCCAGGAGACCACATGAGGTCCCAGGAGGCGTCAGGAAGCCACGGAAAGACTCAAGAGGTCACATGGTGTCCCAAGAGGCTCCAGGAGGCCCCAGGAAGCTCCAGAAGGCCTCGGGAAGCCACAGGAGGCCCCAGGAGGCCACAGGAAGCGCCAGGAGGTCTCGGAAGGCAACAGGAGGCCCCGAGAGGCCCCAGGAGCAGGAGGCTTCTCAAGGCAACAGGAGTGGCTCCAATCCCATGTGTTTTACTCATGCTCCTATCGATTGGGCCTCACCTGGAGCACGATTCCTTGATGTTATACGTATGTTTGTATAGATTGCCCTTCTCCTGTTTTACACAATCTCACATGTCCTATTTATGTTCCTGTATATTGGGCCTCTCCAGGGGCACGAGTCCTTGGTGTTTTGCGTGTGTTCCTACAGATTGACCCCTTCTCCTGTGGCTCTAATCCGGAATGTTTTATGTACGTCTGTTGCTATATATTGTGCCTCTCCTGGGGCACGAAACCTCCCCAGGAGGCCCAAGGCGGCCCCAAGAGGCTCCTGGAGACCCCAGGAAGCCCCAGTAGGTTTCAGGAGGCCCCAGGAGGCCCCAGGCTCATGCGCAGAGACGCGCTCGTACTACTGAGGCTCATTCACACTGCAATTCATTCTCAGTTAGATTCATGACCCGACCGTCACTACTGAAACCCGTTTATATTCGAAAACTCTTGCGTTTAGACATTCACGGCGGACAGGTCCATGCGAATAGATGGACATATGGGGAGCTCCACGCTTTGAATCACTGTTGCTGTTGAATTCTCACTTCTGAAGAATAATTATTGTTGATCCCCCGCCACCGGTGCATATTGTTTTTTCTCAATCAAAGTGTGCCCCTCGACGCTCGCACCCTGTTTTTTGACAGGGAAAGTCTTGATGCTCAAACTGAGCCCCTGGCCCCCGGGTTACAACAACAACGGCTCCCGCCTGAGACTTCCTTACAATTTAGCCAGGACCCCCGCTCCCGCCCGAGACTTCCTCGCATTTTGTTCAGGAAGCGCGCTCTCGCTTGGGATTTCCGTGCAATGTATTCAAGAATCGCTCGTCCGGCGCTCTGGAGTCGCGCTCTCGCTGGAGACTTGCGTGCAACTTACTGAAGAATAGCCTTGCGTTGGAATTCCCTGCAATTTGCCCACGCGCCGCGCTCCCGACACCCAGGCACCCAGGAGTCGCGCCCGTTGTGGCCCCATGTGCATGCCCTTCGTGGCCCCGCTGTCGCCATTAGTGTCCCCCTCACTGTCCTACGTGGCCTAGTTGCTACCCTCAGTGGCCCCATAGTTGCCTTCTGTGGCCCCGCATTATCTGCAATTCGTGGCCCCCGCTCGTTAGCGCTCTTCGTGGCCCCATACGCATTCCCTTCGTGTCCCCGCTGTCGCCCTTCGTGGCCTACTTCGTGCCCTTCGTGGCCCTGCCCTGCTGTCGTTCTCTCTCGCTCTCGCTTTCGCTCGTCGTCGCCGTCGTCGTCGTCGTCGCCGTCGTCTTCGACGTCGTCGTCGTCGTCGTCGTCGTCGTCGTCGTCGTCGTCGTGGTCGGTCCCCTGTCCGTCCCTCTTGGGGTCGGGTCGACGGTCCGCGGCCGCCCCGCCGATCAGCGCTGCCGCTGGCCAGGCCGACGGTCCGCGGCCGCCCCGCCGCTTGCCGGGGCCCGGCCTGCAGGGAAGAAAGGTATACCCCCCAAAAGGGGTTCGATCGAAGACGAAGAGGGCGGGTATCGAGGGTTTGGGAAATACGCGTTATTGGACACTCGAGCATATAAGGGCGAACGCTCTTAGAATTATTGTTGCTGTTGTTGTTGTTGTTGTTGTTGTTGTTGTTGTTATTGTGCCAACGGTGCGGCGCGCGCGCCTCGATCGACGCGCCTGTCTGGCGAGGGTTGCTCGCCGACTGCCGAGGCCAGGAAAGGGCTGGTTCGGTGTAGGACTAGCGCATCGAGGCTGCCTTTCTGGTCGCGAGGTTCGCTACGGGTGTAGCTCCGCCAGGTTGCGGCGTGGCCGCGGCCTAGTGGGAGACACTCCGCTGGTGGTTGTCGGCCCGTGCTTGGGGTGCAGTTATGATGGTGCGCCTCGGCCGCAGCTGATCTCGGAGGCGATTCTCCCCAACCCCCCGACCTTTCGACGAACAATGAAGCCGCTCAGAAAAAGATGGGGGCCCTGGAATACACCCCGAGGGGGCTATTCGGACGCACCCCTAATTATCGAGGATGGGCGACCCCCCATCGTACATCCAAGGGTTGGGCGGAAATTCCTTGTCCATCCGAAAACCCTACGAAACCTGGGATACTGGTCGACATGTTCCCTGTTATGGTTCCTCCTCGTGCCTGCCCCGCCCCTCCTGCCCCGCCCCATCCTGCTCCCCCCCTTCTGTTCCCCTTCCTGCCGCTCCTCCCTGCCGCTCCTCCTGCCCTCCGACCCCTTCTCTTGCCCCGCATCCCCCCCCCTCCGCCCGTCCCTTTCTCCCCCCCCTACTGCGCCCCGAGAAGGAGCCCGAGGAAGCGAGCAAGAGCCCGAGGAAGGCGAGCAAGAAGGGCAAGCAGAAGGAGATCGGTCCGGCGCCGGGGCGCGGGGCCCGCTCAGCGACTTCCCAACAGATCGGCGGGCTGAGGGGGGAGAAGTCGTGCCATCATTGGCGCAGTTCTCTTCCCCCCCTCATCCTGCCTCCCCCTCGCCCAGCCTTCTCTCCCTCTTTATCCCATTCTTCTCCCATGCCTCCTTCCTTCTCCCCGTCCCTCCTCCCCGTCCCCCTTTTCGTTCTCTCCTCTACCCCAAAGCACTCCTCCATGGCTATCTTCGCCATCCTCCAACAGGTCAGCGGATGAGGGATGGCGTTGTGCCTCTGGATACGTGTTGGTCACTCCCTTTAGCTTTAGGATATAGTGGGGAACGTGCTGGAGCGGTTGGAAGGTCGTTGAGCCCTGCTTCATAGCGGACACAAGCGGCGCCTCCAGCGGCTCCCCTGTCGCGTTCCACGGGCCTCGCAGTTGGGAAGGGGTGCAGCAACGGGAGGCCGGCCCCGACCCATCAGATCAGTTCGGACCCTATGATGCTATGTTTGTCTCGTTCCTCAACGCTTATCTTTCATCGGAAGAGGTTCGCTCTCGCCCCGCAGATCAAGACATTGTCTCGCTGTTCGAGAAATCTCGGAGCGTTTGTCGTTAGGCCGCCTTCGGACGTGTTTGGGGCACCTTGCAGCCTCTTCGGCGCATTCCTGGGCAATTTTGGGGACCGAAAAAGATCGCCAGAGAGAAACACTGATGGGACGATGTTCTGCCCGGGTCTGCGTCGAGGAGGGGGGGGCCTTCCTTTGGAAACTACATGACCCTCACCAGACAACAACTAATTCGCACTCTGACATGACACGACCGTGCAAGCACTGTGGTGGATTCAGTCTTACTGTCCTAGACTAGGTCTTGGGATCTCTTCGGGGGGGGATTCTTCCTCATCTCCCCCTCCTCCTCCCTTCCGCCTCCTGCCTGCCTGCTGCCTGTCTCCGGCCTGCCTGTCCCCGCCTTCTGCTTGCCTGTGTGTCTTTCCTTTTGCAGCCTCCTGCCTGTCCCCGTTGATCACAGCCCAACGGGTGTTCCCTGGGCACGCCAGTCGTCGTACACCCTCGGGAAGGCATGTGGCGTGAGTCGGACTGCGAGGGCGCAGGCCAAGGCCGAGGCTCTGGCGCCCAGCGTCAGTTTCCGCCGACTCCCGCCCTCTGCCCCGCTGCCCGCCATCTTCACGGTACAGGGCAGTTTTAAATATATAGGTTTTTTTTAAACGATATAGGATGTTTAATACATGATTACTTTATGAATAAATTTATGCATGCACTCATCGTTGTTTTTAATACTAAATCCCTGCATTTTTGATACATGATCCGCACGCGGAGCATGTATAAAAACGGCACTGTAACGTGCTTCAGCCCCGTGAGTGCTCGGCTGTCACCGTGAACGGGACGAAGGGCGAGGGGAAGAAGGTCGACTGCGCGCGCGCTGGCGCCGCCACCTCCACCAGCTCCGGGCCGGGAGGTCGTCCAGCCGGCCGCTCCGCGGCAACCGCGGGCGCCTCCGCCGGTCCTTCAACCTCCCCCACCAGTGGCGCCCCAGGAAGGAGGGACTCCTCGACTTATGATCTTCCAACCTACTTTAGCCTCGACCGCCAGAAAGAATTTCGAGCACCAAGGAAGTACCGAAACTGGAGGACTTTCACGTGCCGGGCTCTGGGAGGCGAGACTCGTTCGACACTGTTTCGATACTTTTCTGGGTGCTCGAGAGGGTTTTTGGCATGTGGTCCTTAAGTGCGATGTGAACAACATTATCCTCGACCTCCACCGGGGGGCGCCCCAGGAGGGAGGAGGGCCGCCGCCTCGACCTCGACCAGGGCAGGCGCCCTGGGCCTGGTTTCTGGACCCTCCTCCATGGGGCCTCGCAGGTTCGCCACATCACAACGTATAGTGTATAATTTGCTGGCCGGTTCTCCAGACGTCAGGCGTCGAACCAATTGTTTGCACAGAGCATTGGGCCGCCATTTGCACTAATTGGTGGGAAAGCACAACCCAGTACAGTGGACATGGTTCTGGTCCCGTTCCCTGTTCCCCCTCTCTTTGCCACCCGTCTTCCCCCCTCTTCCCGCCCCCTTTTTCCTCCGTGCCAACTCGTCTCTGCCCCTCCCTCGACTGCCCCTCGACCCCTCCTTCGCCTCCTCCTCAGGAGCCGCAGAAAGTGCAGACCCACACCGAGATCCTGCTGGAGTCGCTGCAACGCCACGAGTCCCTGGGCGCTTCTGGGAACGTGCAGCTGTTCACGGAGAGGCCCGCGGGGAGGGGGGGGCGGGGCGGCTGGGGCTCCTCGTGGCCCAGCGCTCGTCTCGGAATAGGGCGTGGAGGAAAGGATGACGTAGGATGGAGAAGGCGGAGGAGGAGGTTCTGACGGAAGATCCTCGTGTGCCGCGGCTTGACGTACAGAGGCGCGAGCCGTGCGGCTGCACGCTGCGCCGGTCGAAAAAGTGAGGCAGGAGGGAGCATTCGTTGCGACTGGCATTGCACGGATAACCGGCGCCGAGCGCGAGATGCTGCCCCCAGCCCGTTCCGCGTCCTTCTGGGGCTGACGGAGGCCAGGGGCCTTCGGGGGGGCCTCCCCAGGGGTGTCCAGGGGGATGCGATTCGCCCCCGAAGCTGTGCCCGGCGACTGGCATCGTACGGAGAACCGGCGCAGGAGACGACGGGAGGGAGGAGCCGGACCACGTACAAATGAGTCGGGTCGGGCACCCTGCCGTGGAGGGCCAAATCGTAGAATGTGAGTGCCGAATCGTAGAAGGAGAGTGCCAAGATGCGTTCCAGAAGCAACAGTGCACAGGTTTCGATCTCCAATGCAAGCACCAAGGTGCAAGATCGGCAAATACTTCCGCAAGATGCCGCCTGGCCGCACTATGCAGGGAAGAACCACCAGGAGTAACGTAGAATGCGCTGTGTGGAGTCTTGCTGCGAGCGAGTCCCAAGCATGAGGAAGAAGCGGAGGTGGTAAGACCACGGGCGAGAAGCCCTGGCTCCTGGGAGGCGGCCGTGCGTGTCCGAAGCAGCGCGATGTGCGGGAGAGCCCGTCCGCGGGAAAGCCGCCAGGAGCCGTTGGCAGCAGCCCTTGCGTGGCCGACCTGCCAGCTTCATGTGTTTACCCACTTCTTCCGACCGACGTCAGAGATTGACCTCGAGTGCGCGCCCACAGGTCTTCGCCCAACGTTGGCCTGCGCGCATTGATCTCGCCCGGTGCGGCCCCTGAAAACGGCCCCCGAAAGCCGCGCGCCCAAAGGTCCCTCCTGCCGAGGGTCACTCTCGCGCGTGTCCGAAAGAGGGCGGGTGGGGGAGGAGGGCGCGCCCGGGGGGCGACCTGGCGCTGGCTCTCAAGCTCCCGGGGGGGGCTGGGCAACTCGAGCGGGCGCTGGGAGGAGGAGGATGGACGATGGTGGGTGGACGAGGGGGAGAAGCAGCAGCAGGAAGATGGAGGAGCACGGTGACTGAGGATGGAGAGGAGAGGGAGATGGAGGATGGAGGATGGCGGAGGAGAGGCAGGAGGGGGAGGAGGAGGAGGAGGAGGAGGAGGAGGAGGAGGAGGAGGAGGAGGAGGAGGAGAAGATGGAGATGGAGATGGAGATGGAGGAGGAGAGGGGGGGAATGGAGGCGAAGGAGCAGACCCAGGCCTGGAGTCTCCCGCGCCCGACCGACCGGATGGGCAGAGCGGCGCCCTGCGAACAGGAGCCTCGGAGGTCCGCGACCTGGGGACGTACAGCTCTCCGCCATGAAGCAAACGCTTCCAGAGTCAGAGGCGGAAGTGACACCCTGACCTCTACCCTTCCATCGCTTTCCCCTTTTCAGGGCCTCCTGGGAGGGCCTCGTCGCCACCGCTGGACTCGCCTCGAACTCCTGGTCAAAACGCACCCCAGGGGAGGCCCGGGGAGCAGCGGTGTCGGTACCTTCTTGGTTGCCCCAGTGGGGGAAGTGGTTTTTCCCCCTTCGGCCCCCCAGGCTCTGCCTGGGCCCTGGGACCGTCCAACAGAAAGATGCGGGATGATGGTTCAGTAGCGGAAGAAGGACTTACACGTACATGAATCCACGTTGGTTTCGAGAGAACGCTTTGCGCGAATGCTCGTATGACGCAGCTGGTCTCGCGCATCGAGGGGCCGTGTTCATGTACGCAGCTGGGCGCGTACGTCTTCTTGTCGGCGCCCCAGAAATTGACGTCCTGCGGGAAGGCCGCGATCCGGGACCCACTGTCCCTCAGGGCCCGCTTAGTCCATGGCAAGTTGTCGGCCAATGCGCACAGCGGCGCTCCGGCGAACGCGCTCCCAGGAGGTCCTAGGAATTAGATGCTCAATCTAGAGAGCTCGAAGGGGCCTAGGGACACTCCAGTTCGTGCTTGGGGAAGCGGTGAAGGATTGACTGACATCACTACTTGCGCGAAGCTGCAGAAAACGTTTTGGAAGCACACACACGGCGGCGATGAAGTACGCAGAACCACGCGGTTCCTTATCGTAGTGACGAGTTCGAGGACAATGCCGACGAGGGCGACGGCGTCGTCTCCAATGGCGACGACGACGGCGACGAGGGCTTCTTCAGGGAAGTATCTGAAGGCCTTGTAGACCCCAGGAGGTCTGAGGGGGGGGCTCAGGAGGTCTTCTTAGGGGCATAGTGGCTCAATCAATGCGACGCAAACTCAAGCCTCGAACCATGATCTTCGACCTGACGAAGACGATGACAGCGACGACGGCGTCGTCGAAGATTCCGACGTACGCGGTAACGTCGACGGCGTCGACGACGAGAGCGACCCGACGACGACGGCAACGTTGACGTTGACTCGACGACGATGGCAACGACTATGGCGACGCGACGACGAAGGCGTCTTCGACGGCTCCGATCCCGCACCCTTCGCATGCACATCGTCAGCATTCATGTTGACCAAGAGGCGCCCCCCATTTCTATGCCAACAATATTGCTTCGACATTCTTTGCATCGCCTGGCCTGACTGTCCTAACGTGATCGAGGACGACCGCGGGCGATTCTCCCCCCAAACCACGATCTCGGAAAAGAACGGAAACTCAGAGATGCACCCCCAAGGGGGGGCTATCCGGACGCACACCCTCATCGAGGATGGCCCCTTCCATCGCTTATCCACGAACTGGGCTGCAAATTGATTAGTCGGCAGTACTTCACACGAAGGTCGGGGATATGAGTCTCCATGCCTCTTGTGACATAAATGACGATCCTGCTATCCGACGTCGTGCAACAAAAAGAATGTATCGCCAGATCATATGACCGTTGCTGTCTGCGACACCATCTTCCTGCAACGGTTCTCGAGCTGGATCGTTGCGCGAGGGTCGCAGGGGCCCCAGATTGGGGACAGAAACGCCGGGTGTGAAACAAATGCGACGCCTGTATGTCAGGGAAACCTCAGACGGGGGACAATGCAAACGAGGGTCAGCCAGAGCGCATGTTCTTGCAGGAAGCTGCAGAGCCAGGGTGGCATTGACCCGTTCGTGGGCGCAGGATCCTGCAGGATCCTGAAAGGCCTGAGTCTGGATTGACCCGGGTCAGTAGATTCCCGAGCCAGATTGTCAGATAACCTCTTGTCAGGCGACGACGACGGTACTGACGGCAACCCGACGCCGACAAAGTTGTTCCGACGACGACGTCGGGCGACGACGGCAGCTCCATTTACGCGACGACGACCTCGACGGCCTCGTGGCAGCCCGCAACGGTGAGCCCGACGAGACCTCAGCCAAACGTTGACGTAGTCGTTTCGATGCGCCTTCGTCGCCCTGCTCTGAGGGAGGACGGGGGCCACGGCGGCTTCGACGGCGACGGCGGCAGCAGCCGCGGCGCCCTCGGCGGCAGCCCGCCGCTCGCCCCACGCACTCGGCCGGGCAGGCCCAGCGAGATCCACGGCAGCGACCTGCGGAGCTGGCAGTTGTCGCCGCTCCAGGCGGTGACGCCCTCCTCCTCCTCCTCCTCCTCCTCCTCCTCCTACTCCTACTCCTACTCCTACTCCCCCTCCTCCTCCTCCTCCTCCTCCTCCTCCTCCTCCTCCTCCTCCTCCTCCACCTCCTACTCCTACTCCTACTCCTCCTCCTCCTCTTCCTCCTCCTGCGAGAACAACACTGCGCAGCACCACGCTGCGCAGCACCGCCTGGGCCCCTCTGCTGGTCCGTCTCGAGCATTCTTGGCGATGCTCGAGCTGCCCCTGGGCCCCGTGTGCCTATCTATGCCACCTTCGGGCTTCCCGGCGCTCCACGTGGAAACCCCGAAGCTGTCTTGAGCGGCCGGGCGGGAGGCCTGGGGGGCACTGCGCAGCACCACGGGGGAACCGCCGTGCCCTAGAGGGCCAGCCGAGGCATCGGGGACCCGGAGGAGGAGGGGGGGATCAGAGGAGGAACAAATACCGATACCGCTGCTCGTCCTGAAGATTTCTCGTCGCCACGGCTGGATTCTAGGCCTCCTAGACAGGATCGGAGTAGATGGGGTCGGAGGATCAAGCCGCATCGCGGATGCATCGCTGATGGGTCGCCGTCGGCGTGGATTAAGTCGAGCTCCACATCCAGCCGCATTGCTGATGCATCGGCGATGCGGCCTCTCAGAGGCTCGTCCTGCAGATCCATCGTCGCTGCGGCTGGATGCTCTTCGAAGTTATGATCAGACCGCACCCAGGCGAGGTCCGGGGAGAAGCGGTTTCCGCACGTGTTCGTCATCCCCGGAAGAGGGGCCCAGGATCACGGCTCTGGGGAGGGCGTCGGAGGAGGGCCAGTCGAGACAGTGGCGCCCGTCTTTGGCGTTTCCCGTTCTCTCGAGGCCTCCTGGAGGCTTCTCAGGAGCCATCCATCCCTGGGTCAGACACAGAAGCCTGGCGTCCAGGCGGACCCGTTGGCAGGAAAACAAGGTGACCGATAGCCACTCGAAACGCTCGAAGCACAAAGGTGTGACCAAACGCCGCATGAAGCATAGAGGTATGACCACCCTTGGATGCGCCTCAAAAATGTGGCCTGGATGGACTCCAGGAGGGATCATTGGACCGATTTGGATGGTTTGGGGCCAGACGGGTGCCGCCGTTGCTCCAACTGGCCCTCCTCCGAGACGAGGGTGTCCACGGCTCGGGTCGGTCCGGCTGCGTCAGAGTCGGTCTCGTTCGTTCGGTCTGGTCCAGTCGGTCAGTCGCGTCGTTGCCGCGCCGCTGCGCCCTTCGGGCTGCTGGCGGCCTTCGGTTTCGGTTTAGATGTGGCTTCGGTAGGTGTTTTCTCCGCTGGTCGCCCTGGAATCCTGACCAGAGCGAACCCCTGGAGAGTTCGGCGGGACGATCTTTGAGTGATGACGCCCCTGGGAAGAAAACGCGCGGGCGTATCTTCCCTGATGTGTGCTCCCGTGGGCGCGTTTCGGGCCACGGGGCCCTTCGAAATCGACCCAGGGCGGAACACAGGACAGAACATACGCTTCGAGGGGTTCAAGCCCTGCTCTTTGTGCAGATCTTGCGAGCGAGCGAGCGAGAAGCCGTACGCCATTCGGCGCGTAGGCAGTTGAAACTGTGCATTGCCAGAGCAAGAAGGTCAGTGTGCAGTGCGGCCGTCAAGCGCAAACTTTGTTGCAAACTGACGCCACGTTCGTTCGTCTGCCATACAATCCACCAGGGCAGAGTCGAAGCCCAAACTACTGCTGCCTTGACGCGGGAATCTTTGAACATGTTTGCCTGTCCCCGGCTTTGGGGCAATGTGTAGCCTCCCCATCGATCTTGGAAGCCAGAGCGCATTCAACGAGACTCCGTGGATGATTCGCCCGTCGCCGAAGGGGGTTGGGAGGAACAGGGATCGAGTTCTTGGGGCAGCATCCATTGTTCTTGGGCCCCTGGGAGGGCTCCTCGGCGCCACGGCGGGAGTCGGGCAAGACTGCGCTGCCTGGAGATGTTTGGGAGCCGACGTTGCCGATTGCGAAGACCTTACGGCCAGCGCCGCCGACCCTGACGACGACGAGGGCGAGGACGAGAGCGGGTAGGAGCAGCAGGAGGATGCGGAGGACGCACCCTGAAGACGAGGACGAGGACGAGGATGAGGACGGGGAGGCGCAGCAGGAGGAGGCGGAGGACGCTGTGGAGGAGGAGGAGGAGGAGGAGGAGGAGGAGGAGGAGGAGGAGGAGGAAGAGGAGGACGAGGAGGAGGATGAGGAAGGGCAGCAAGGTCAGGGGGGGACGGGGGGGAGGGAACAGTAGGAGGACGAGGAGATGTCCGTTCGGGTCCCCCGTCTGTTTAATTATTCTCTTGGAGACGTCTTGGGTGTTTCTTGGCCTGTTTTGGAGGCGTCTCGGGCTGTTTTGGGGCCTCTTTCGGCCATTGTGTGAACGTCTTGGAGGGCGTTTGGCCGTCTTGGGGCGATCTTCGGAGCTTCTTGGGCCGTCTTCGAGCGTCGGGAAGCGGAAGGCGCCCGAACGCCCAAATTCTTCAAACAACGATAAGGAATTTAGACACCTATGATCCGAGGCTAGACCCTGCTGTTTTCTTTCGCATCCCTTCGCGATTCGCGTCGGTGCCCCATACACCCGTGGGGGAAGCCGCCAGGCGCGCAGTCATGGCGTGGCGCAAGCATGCGCCGTGGCACACTGCCAGTAAGGGTGGCAAGTCTAAGTCCCAGTGGACGGCGCGCGACGTGTGCGCTGATTGCAAACATTGGGAGCACAAGTTCTTCGGCAAGAGCTTTTGTTCGAAATGCGGAGGCGATTGCATCAGTTCAAGCGAGCAGCGAGGGCAGGGCGACCGTCGCAATGTTTTTCGCCCTGGTCCTGAGGTTGGTGTGCCTGGTGCAGATGGTGATTCCACGCTTCGTGCTGCTGCACTGCTGCTTGCAACCAAGTCCGAGGTTCGAGGGGGTCTCCCTCGGTTCGTGGCTGAAGCTCCTGTTGCCGAAGAGCCAGAGTGGACGGCAGCCAGGCTCTAGAATGCAGCTAGCGCCGAGCGCATTCGCCTTGCCCGAGTCGTGGAGGAAACGGCGGACGCGGTGCGTTTGGCATGTACAGCATCGGGCGACGAAGCAGGAGACATTGGAGGAACAATTGGTGGAGGCCACGAATATACTGGCCGAAGGCACCGTCGCGCACGAGAAAGCCACCAGAGACACGTCTCAGGCCGATTCGGACCTCCAGCAGCTTCGGACCACCAGCAGTTCAACGAGGACGCCTGCCTCGAGCACGAGCGCATCCAGCAGCGTGGGGCTCGCTCCATTGCTGCGGATGCCAGTCGTGCTCAGATTGGGCAATTTGAAGCAGTACCTGGTGAAGGCTCTGGCGGTGGCGGCCAATCAGGTGGGGGTGCTTGCCGTCTCCCTGGGAGGTGGCCAACGTGCTTCAGATGTTCCGATGGCACCCGTGGGTGTTTCCGATATGCAGGGGCTGGCAGAGGCTGGCCTCCGCAAGTTCGCAGTGGAGAAGCACCTCCCCCTCGGGTCTCGATGCAGTTCCAGGCCATGTCCAAGGAGCTTGCCCACGGCGCGACGATTGGATGGCAACGACGACGCTGGTAGTGACGCTGGCGATGCACCCACCCCCTCAGGAGGTTGATGAGCTCAGGGCACTCCGCAGGAGAACCAGCGGCGAAGTTTTCGGCCCGCGACGACGCCATCAAGATGGGGCGCTTCATAATCGAGGAGTCCAGGGCGCGGCAGTCGAAGCGCGTCGAGGCAGCCGCCGACGCCGCCTCCGCCGACTTCGCTAACCTAGTCCGCGCCTTGTCTGTGGTATCACGCACAGGGGTGCTCTTGCAAGGAGCTTCCTGTTAAGTTTGCATGCGCGAGCACCGCCGCCCCCCTCATCGGCGAAAACAAGCCAAGACGGAACGCGCCACGACGACGCGGCGACCCTTTTTTTTCCCCGCGCGTAGCAATTCCTGAGAAGGTCCCCAAGGGGGTGCGGGGGCTTGCGCGCGCAAGGCCTTGTCGTTTAAGTGGGTCTGTTTGTATTGCAGCAGCGCGAAGGGGGGGGCGCGGGCCGGAAATTGTTGGGCGCCCCTGGGGCAGCGCGCCCGGAGGTTTATATTGGCGGTTGGAATCGCACATGGGTGCTGTTTTGGGAGTTGCCGATGAAACAACTGCGGGGGGGCGTCGGCGATCAACGCGCTCTTCGCAACCGCGGCGGCCCCGCGGGCCCCCATGGGGGGCTTCGGTCCCGATGCAGAGCCGATGCAGTTCTGCGTTTATCCGAAGATGGCGCGCGCTTGGGCCACTCTTCGCGCCAGAGTTGCCTGCGCTTGCTCGCGAGGGAAGGGGCGCGATGATTAATTGCGTTTGCTTCGAAGGCCCACGCGCCCTTCTGCGAGGTGTCGAAGTGCGGAGGCTCGCCGTTCAAGACGCATGCTTGCGTGGAGGCAGCGTTGCCGCGTGGCGCCTTGCTCCGGGGCGTGGCCAGGAGACGCGCGCTTGCAGTTTACCCCGTGGCTTCGGGACTCGAGCTCCCCCGGGCTCGCCATCTGAAGGGGGCGTCTCGGACATGGCCTCCGACGGCTCGACGCCCTGGAAGTCGACGGCTCCGACGGCTCCGACGGCTGACGGTTCGTTCGTCGTTTCCAAGGGGACTTTGCAGATGAGTCAACTTGCGCCTACGCGCCGCGGCCCCGCGCTTCTGGGAGTTTGACTCTCGGGCCAGTCATGGACGTGAGAGCGACGTCGCGCGGCGCCGGGCAGGGGGGGCGTTCCTGGTGTCCGACGCATTTCGCTGACTTCTTAGCAATGGGCGCGGGAAATCGCATTCGGAGCCCGCGCTGCCCCCCCCCCCGGCCTCGCCACTCCCAGGTGCCGCTAGAACTTCGAGTCGCCTTGGGGCGCGGGCGCAATCAGATTGCTAGAGAGTTGTCGTGCCGATGTTGTTATTTGGCCAGTATGTTGGGCCGCGTTCTGCACGCGTGCCCACGTCGAGGAATGTCCGGGCGCGGCGGGCTCGGCTGGCCCGCGTGGAATCTCGGGCCGCTCGGCGCGCGGCGTCGATCTTCGCGATTTCCTGGCCCCCGGCTGCTCGGAGGGGCCTGGTTTGATGCTCGCGCAAATTCAGCTGAGGCGATGTGAGGAGCGGGTTCTCACGGCCCTGCCAAGGGGGACCATGATGACTCGCGCATGGACTTATACGCATGAATGGGGGCCCGCCTGGTTTTCTCCGGCCCCCTGTTGGGCCCCTGTTGTTGCCCGGCGAGATGGCGGCCCATTGGATTGCGATCTGGAGGAGATGGCGGGCCGCTGGCCCCGAGCAGAATGCGGAGTTGGAGGAAGTTTGGAGCGGGCCCCGCGCGCGAGCGGCGGAGGCGCGGCCAGGGCCCCCCGTCAGAGCAGATCTGTTTGAATGTGATACCCTTCCCCCCAAAAAAAGCAAGGTTGTTAATGAAACCGTGCGTGGGCGTGCTATGCTTTTTCAGGCTTCCACCGCAGTCGCGGCGTCATTCTTGGACGAGCGGAGCAGAGACAGCGCCGCTTTTCGGGGCGTCGACATTCGAGGTAGCTCCTTCTTGCAGGCGGCCCCAAGCGGGAGCTGCCCCGCGAACTCGCTGCTTCCGAGGGCGACGTCTCGGTCGCTTCCCGTTGGTATTTGCGCAAGTTGTTTGACTCGGCGTCGCCCGTCTTGCTTATCATGACTGGGTGTGACCTCGATGCCCCCCCCCCTTCCCCCGCGCGTGGGTTTGCGCATTTTGTCCGGACGTTGGATCAGGTTCACCATCGGCTCTTCCCCGTCGTGGCTACACTGGTCGATTCTGAAGATCTATCTCAGAAATTGCAGAAGAGCGCCGACGAAATGGTCAGCGCTGCTGTCCCTGCCGCCGTTCGGCCGGCGCGCGGCTTGGGCAGCTTGCGCCTGTGAGTTCTCTACGTGTCTCTCGTAGTGACTGACGAGCGCGTGGCCGGATGCCGGATCGCCCGGGAGCGTTGAGATGTGGAGTTTTTTTTTTTTCATGGGCGTCCAAGATTCGATCCGCGACTTGGGGGCCGCCCCCGCGGCTGGCGAAAATGGGCGCAGCATGATGTTGCGGACTCGGAGAGCCGAGACTCGAAGGCCAAGAGGGCAAAGTGCCCCGTTGGCATTTGCAAAGGGATTCCGGAACTCTACGAGCCTGGGACGCTGTCTGGTCTGTCCTTTGCCACGATGTCTGAGGACTTTCGCCCTGCCAGGTCCGTTCGGCCCGCGCCCGCGCTGCTGCGCGTTCGGGTTGGTGGAGCCGTGGGTCCTGCGCGACTACGTCGTTGTTTATTTTGAAGGCTGAATCTGATCATCCCGCCCGTTGTTTTCGGCGCGATCGGCTCCTCGTTTGCCGGCGGCCATGGGTAAGTCTGGGCCTTGAGGCCAAGATGGGGGCTTCGCGTTTGCAGGGCGCTCGCGCCGATTAGTTTGCCCGCGCGGCGTCGGGCCGCATTCTGCGCGGTGCGAGGGGGCCGACGGCCGCAGTTGTCGCAGTCCTCACCAATCTAGAATGGCGGTCTTTCCCTCCGCGTGTTTGGAATCTTCCGGACGGGGGCGCCCCCCATGCTGGCGCGCCTGGTTTCCCTGCCCAGATGCGAGGGTACCTCGAGCAGAATGCCCACGGCGCATCATGGAACTTCGCCGTTCAACACTACCTCGGGAAGGGGGCCCTGGACGGAGTGTGGCTTCTACTTGCGTTTATTTCTTGCCATCTGAGATGCCCAGGGACTTTGATTCGAAAGGCATGGGGTCCTTCGGGGTACCTTGGTTGGTGGTTTCTGGACTGATCTGCGTTTGCGCGAAAATTGATGTTCTATTAGTTCGAATGGTACACGCCCGAGATGCACACGGGCACCTTACGCACCTGTTCGTTGGTTTTGCGCGTGCGAGGCCAGCGGCAGCATTGCCTATTCAGCTGCGGGGCGTACCCAGCCCCTACGTGCTCGTGCACTTGAAGAGGGTTCTTATTGTCCTGCGCTGTGGCGCTGCAGGCCCATGCCCAAATTTCGCGCCTCCCGCCGCCTGCTGGTTTGATCTGGCATTCTGGGGCCCTGCAGGAGGGATTGGTCGTTCTTGCGGGAGTCTGGCGGATCGACGTGTCGAGAGGAAAACGCGCTAAGGATTGGAGACTAATGCAATGCAGCTGGGCGCGCCCGCTGGCGCCCCTCCCTGGCCGACGCGGATGGTTTCTTCGTTGGCGCCCTCTCCGCTCTCAGACGGGGGGGTGGCGTCCCCAATTTTTAAATAAACGAATCTCTCCACAAAACAAGAATTAGCAGGCTTACGGGGTTACGACAACAACTTCAGCCAGCGGGCGCCCTCGTGACGATGTTTTTTGTTGCAGCTTGACGACGACGACGACGACCACGACCTTTCTCGGTGGTCCCCAGAGGTCCCGTCAGGGTTCCTGAGGCTCGGGTTTTCAGGCGCTTCCAGAGGCCCAACAAAGACCATCGACGTCCACGAAATAGGATTCTCGATCACACGACGTCGACAACACCAATGACTGCCTTCCAGTTTTTTTTGCAGAGGTCCTCGCAGTACCTTGGTGGCTCCGCGGAGATCCCAACGCCTGCCGCCTGCAGAGGCCCGGCGAGGAGCAGAGACGGTCGAAATCCTCAGCGTTCGATTCGACGAGGACGACGGCGACGAGATCGCGGTGGCAGCGGCGGCGGCGGCGACGACGATGCCGGCTTCGACGGCCCGCTTCCACCCCGGCGGAGCGGTGAGGACGAGCGCCGGCAAGCGCCAGCGACGGGCGGCCAACCTGCGACGATCGGCGGCGGCGGCGAGCTGCGCCGTCGGGCGGCGGCGGCGTCGACGACGTCGATGGCGGCGCGCCGAGGCGGCGAAGCGGTCTGCCCCGGCGGCGGCCTCCGTCGAGGAGCGGTGGCCCGCCGCGCCGGGCCGCCGCCGCGCGCCGTCGCCGTAGTTGCCGCGCGGCCTCATCGTCGTCGTCGTCGCCGCCGTTGTCGTCGTCGTCGACGTCGTCGTCGTCGTCGTCGTCGTCGTCGTGCGCAGTGGTCGGCGCCGCGTGTACATCCTTATTATCCTCCTCCTCCTTGCCCACAATCTTCCATGTTCTCCCGTTTTGCTCGTCCTAATGTGCTGCTCATTTCTTCGTCATAGACGACTGCATGGCCGCAGTGAGGCAGCGTGTGATGAATCTAATTGGGCGGCCGAGCCTGCGCGCTATGCTCGTGTTGATTATCAATCCTGGAACCGCGGCATCCCCATGCCCACCGAGGTGCTCTAGGTTGCCCACGCCGCTGGAAAGCAGCTGCGCACGGGAAGCGTGGACGTGCTCTTCCACAATGCGCTCGAGCGCGATTTTGCCACATGCGCGATGGAGGAATTGTTCGCGCTCGGCCTGGGTATGAATCACAACTCTGCCAACACAGTTCGGTGCACACACCTGCTAAAGATGCGAAGAATATCAACTCCAGCGCATTTAACATTGTAGTCGAAGGTGTTCCGCCCCATCCCTTGCAGAATATCTCAGGCTCGTATGGGACGATACAAGATGGAATAATAATGATCTGATGAGAGATGGTATAATTTATAGGAGGCCGTAATATTGCATCCGATTGCGTAGGACAATATGAATGCACAGCGCAATGTGTCATGAAGTAAAAGGAGACGCGCCCAAACCATATCTTGGCGCACCATCATATATAGTATTGATGTGCGTCGCCGTAAACATATGTATATATGTGTATTGTGTTTCATCGCCAAATGCAGCTTCTTACACAGTTTGATACAGCCTGTGGCAGTGAAGATATTGTCTTGCATCGACGGCTATAGTCTTTCCTCGTAGATTGTGCATTCTGTTGTCTCAAATTGTAGAATGTGTCTCCATCGTCTTTACCTACTTATGTGTACTGTACAGGGCTGCCGCATCATACAATATGTTTTCGCCTAGGCGAACTACCGTCTCACATCACCGTCTATCGTTCTGACACGGGTACTGCATTTTTATTTCGCAACACATTTATATATATATATACATACATAAACATATACATATCGTCCACTCTAGTAATAGATGTCCTTGTCTCTGAAACAGATCCATCCAGTCTGCGAGAAGCAGGACCTGCTCATGCTGAGGTCACCTTTTACCGTACGTTCGTTTTCTGCCGCCGTATACAGTCTTAATGTGTTATATCGTCATCTGCAGTTTGTAAAGTTATACGCACTGGCATCCAGCACTGGTGTCAAGTACGTCCTCGCAGCTTGTTTGGTTATCAGTTCAAGGAGGTATCATCGCACATCGTATTATTCTGTGTTGTGCCACCATGTATCCCACAACATGTCGTTCCCCAAACCGTGGTTGCGCCCGTCGCCGCCAGCCGGCGCCGCCCTCGCTGCACCTGGCCTGAGTACCGGTCGGGCCAGTTCGTGCTTGGCCGTCGCTGTGGCCCGTCGCTGTTCGAGCCTCGTCGGCTCTCTTTCCCCAGCGGCACATAGACTTTACCGCCCTTGGTTTTAGTGGTTTGGCCAGGAATAGTGCAATGTACAAGCGATTCTGCCTCATCGTTGGTCTTGCATTTGAATTGGTATTATCCCAAGGGATACCCTTCACGCCCCCCTCCTCCCTGTCAGTAATTTGATGCGTGCCCACGTGTTCATCGACACCCGTGAAGTTTTAACAACCTTTCAAGGCAACATCGGAACGCAGTCCACACGCCCGCTTCGCGTGGGCATGTCGGAATCTGTTGACGCATTGTAGTTGTCGTATGGACTTCTGGATCGAGGTTCCCGAATTCTTTCAGACATCAAATCAATAGGTTCTCCCAGAACCTGAGATGGGGTCGTTGTGATTCCCAATATCCTAACGTCGAGCCCCTGCTATTCCTTAGACGGCTCCGAGAGAACATCGTCACTCCCGTCTCTTCCTCTTCCTCCACCAGTTTGACTCATTCACGCTCACACTCATTTATCCGTAAGAGCTTCGCCCCATGCCGCCTGCCACCTATCTCGGATAATGTGAGATGCAAAAGCTAAATCATGAGGTCTGGGCGCCGCCGTGAAGCAGTGTCGGGACCTGCTTGTTTTTCGACCCTGACCTTGCGGATCTGCGTGAGGGGTGCCAGCGAATTTCAGAAATGTTGCAAATCCCATGTGTTTTTTGATCCTGACCCTGCGGATCTGCGTGAGGGGTGCCGCCGAATTTCAGAAATGTTGCAAATCCCATGTGTTTTCGGACCCTGACCCTGTCGACCCGCGTGAGGGGTGCCACTGAATTTCAGAAATGTTGAGGATCTCCTGGGTTTTCGGTCCCTGACCCCGCCGATCTGTATGAGGGTGCCACCGAATGTCAGAAATATAGCAAATCCATTGTGTTTTTGGACCTGACCCCGCCGATCTGCGTGAGGGTGCCACTGGATTTCAGACATGTTGCAAATCCCCATGTGTTTTTGGACCCTGACACCGCCGATCTGCGTGAGGGGTGCCAGCGAATTTGAGAAATATGGCAAATCCCCATGTGTTTTTGGACCCTTACCCCGCCGATCTGCGTGAGGGGTGCCACCGAATCCCGTATGTTTTTGGACCCTGACCCCGCCGATCTGCGTGAGGGTGCCACCGAATTTCAGACATGTGGCAAATCCCGTATGTGTTTGGACCCTGACCCCGCCGATCTGCGCGAGGGTGCCACTGGATTTCAGAAATGTGGCAAATCCCCACGTGTTTGTGGACCCTGACCCCGCCGATCAGCGTGAGGGGCGCCAGCGAATTTAAGAAATGTGGCAAACCCCTTGTGTTGTTGGACCCTGACCCCGCCGATCTGCGTGAGGGGTATGCATTTTTACGCACCCCAGCAATTCAGAGCACACGCTCAGGGCGTGCTAAACCTGCCCGTTTGGGCCTCCCCCCCTCGCGCGGTCCATCAGCAAGGAACAGTAAGCAGCAAGAAGCAGAACTGTAACAGTGGAAAATGGAAGCTGCAACTGGTACAGGAAACTGCGAAGCTTCGGCCTACAGCCTGGTGGCCCCACAAGGGGGCTGGCGGATACCCACACATACTTAGACTTACTTACAACCACTTTACTCACACTCTGACTCACTCATATTATGACTCACTCACACTCAGACTCATTCTCAGTTCGACTCACTCACGCTCAGACTCACCCATACTCAGTCTCAGAACATTCAGACTCACTCACATGCAGACTCACTCAAACTTAGACTCCCTCACTCACTCTCGGACTCACTGACACTCAGACACACTCATACTCACCCCAATCTCGCACTCAGACTCTGACCCACTCAAACCAATGTGTGGCCCAATGCTCACCGCGATGTAGCAGGCGTAGCACTCGGGCATCCCAGAGAGGGGGCGTGGGGATGTCTCAAGCGGTTTCCCTGTTTGCGTCCCCAGCATCTTTTGTTTTCGGAGATTCTGAGAATTCTCAGGCGAAGCGCTGGTTTCAGCAGGGATGTTTCAGGCGGTTTATTCGTTCGCGTGCCCAACATCCAATGTTCTCGGAGCAGGTCTTGAGTGTGTCGCAGGCGAGGCGTTGGTCTCAGCATTCCTAAGGGGGGACGCCAGGGGTCAGGTTGGCCATACATTCGCACACATGTTCGCAGAGGGCTATCTAGTACGGAGTTCATGACCCCGGATAAGTAGTATAATTGCGTCGGTTGCAGTCGTCAGATGTGCTGTCTTGCAGGTGCATGCCTTGCCAGCGTCCCTCTTCAATTTGGGGTCCTTGCCCCCCCGCCAGTGATTTTGTAACACATAATTTTATTTCGCGGGCATCCATGCAGAAATTGCCCGTGTAAAGATCGCGCGTGTGTGCCTTCGTTGCCACATGTCGTACCGCTTCAGTGGCCAGCGTGAAACATCGCTTAAGGGCGCGCCATCTCCTCACGCGCAAGACCCCCTTTTGTCTTCGTAGCTCACATGTGGAGGCCGGCTTGTGGACGTTCCCGAGGATGTCGCTCTGCAGCCAGCACGGCCGCGATCTGGAAGTGTCTCGTCAGCAACGGCCAACTCACCAGCGCGGTCTAAGCACCAGGTTGCGCAGGGCGAACAGGTGGGCCGTGATCCAGGGGGGCGGCTGTCGAGGCAGGGGCGGGGGCGGCGGCAGTAGTAATGGCGGTCTTGGTCGCCGAGCCCTCGGATGAAGGGAGCCGCAAAGCAACGATCAGAACGGGCGTTTGTGCTTGGGTTCGGTACCCAGGCGGGATCCGGACAGATCGGTCTGGCTCGAAACATATTGTAGAAGGGTGGCGTTGATAGGTGTTGTTGCATTCCTGTGTCAACGCGTCGCCCTTCCTGTTGTTTTTGTTTCAAGGCGTCGGGGAACGGGAGCAGATGCATTCTGGCGAAATTTCGCGCCAGAGAGGACGACAATGCGCGAGGCCGAGGGGGCATTCTGCCGTCGCGGCAGCGGGCATTGTTGGAGCACGGCTGCGCTGACAAGCCAGCCCCCGTTGGTGCCATAACATGTTCGTGATGGCCCTGCCTTTCTGCATTTGTGCGTCTGGAAAGGACTGGTGTACGAGAGTGGAGGTGACAAGTGGCGGCCGTGGCGCTGATTGACGAGGATGACCCAAACCTCGGACATCTTAAGTTGTTCAACCCGTTGGCCCTAAAGCTCTCGACTCCTTCCCGGGACAGGTTCGTTTGTTCACTCTGCTCCAGTTTTGTGATGTCTCCGCGGCACGAACGTTGCCCCCGGGTGCCAAAATTGACGAAGCAACGCCAGGAGCCAATCACGGAAACGAAACAGTCGCGGACATTGGCACAATAATCAGATCTTCGAGATGGGGGCACAAGGCATGTGGGTGGCCACGTGACGGACGCGAGCACTCGTTTGCAGCGACGGACGGTTTTGATTTCTACCCCGCAGTTGCGGATAAGAGCGAAGGGGCGGCGAGGACGTGAGCAGTTTGCGAGGCTCTGAAGGAAACCGCCACAGGCGCCTAATTTTACCAAACTATACAGAGAGCCCGCCGCAGGCGCAGAGTTTTTGGGTTAGAGCCATGTGGTTGGGTCGCGGGTATGGCGCGGGCGGGTCACGGGTGGGTAGCGGGTGGGTCGCGGGTGGGTCGCGGGTGGACTGCGGACTGGGTCGCGGCCTGGTCGCGGCAGGTTGCGGCTGGGTCGCGGGAGGGTCGCGGGTGGGTCGGGGGCGGGTCGCGGTGTGGGTCGCGGGTGGGTCGCGGGCCGGCCGCGGGTGGGTCGTGGGGTGCGTCGCGGGTGGTGGATCGCGGGTGGGTCGAGGGTCACCATCTACCAAACCCGCCCAACCCAACCCGAAGGCCTCAATTTGCCCTCCATTTCCAGTGGGGGGGGGTCGGGGAACGTTGAAAAAACACGTGGAACCCGTACCCCCCCCAACCCGAAATTCGGGTCAAATTCGGATCTTCGGGTTGGGTTGGGGTGGTCTGGTAGGCAGTCAGAGGGCGGGACGACGGTGACAAGCAACAAACAACGATCCAACAACACATTTTACAAACAACGCAACAACAATCCCACCGGGGAATCTCATTTCTCGGCGGCGAACCCCAGGGTGCAGTGAAAAGTGGCGGGTATTCTCAGAAGGCTTGGAAGTCCCCCGGCCGTCTGAGAAGTTTTCCCAGCCTGCCCCGAATGCAGAAAAATCTTCTCAGAAAGATGGAGGGCTTCTGAGAAGCCCCGCCACCTTCTGAGAAGATCTTCTTTCTCGGAAAGAGCGCGTTCTGTGGTCGCTTGGAGGGGGGGGGTTGGAACCGGACCCCCCCCTGGATTGGCCAAGGGGGGGTTCGACCCCCCCCCTCCGCCTCCCAAGACGGAGGGGGAGGGGGTCGACCCCCCCCCCTCCCCTCCCTTCGTCTCCTCTCTCCTCGGGCCGGCGCCTGCGTCGGCGGGCGGCTGGCGGCGGTGGCGGGGACGACGATTTCCTTTTCTGGGCCGGCGCCGGCGCCTGCGGCGGCGGGCGGCGGCGGCGGGGAGCGTCGACGAGGACGACGGTGGTGGTGGTGGTGGTGGTGTCTTGTGGTGGTGGTGGTGGTGGTGGCGGTGGTGGTGGTTGTGGTGGTGGTGGTGTGGTGGTTTGTGGTGGTGGTGGTGGTGTGGTGGTGGGTGGTGGTGGTGTGGGTGGTGGTGATGTTGTGGTGGTGGTAGTGGTGGTTGTGGCGGTGGTGGTGTGGTGGTGGTGGGTTGTGTCGGTGGTGGTGGTTTAGTGGTGTGTGTGGTTGTTTGTGGTGGTGGTGGTGGTTGTGATGGTGGCGGTGTTTTGTGGAGGTGGTGGTGGTGGTGGTGGTTGTTTGTGGTGGTGTGGTGGTTTGTGGTGGTGGTGGTGGGTTGCGCTGCTTGTAGTAGTGGTGGTTTGTGGCGGTGGTGGTGGTGGTGGCGTGGTAGACTGTGGTGGTGGTGGTGGTGGTAGTGGTGGTGGGTTTTTGTGGTGGTGGTGGTGGTGGTGAGTTGTGGTGGTGGTGGTGTGTTTGTGGTGGTGGTGGTGGCTGTGGTGGTGGTGGCAGTGATTGTGGTGGTGGGTTGGTGGTGGTGGTGGTTGTGGGTTGAGGCGGCGGTGGTGGTGGTAGTGGTGGTGGTGGTAGTGGTGGTTATCGTCGCTGCGTCCCCGCCGTCGCCGCCGCCAACGCCAGCGCCGGCGCCATGGGGGGGGGGGGGGTTTGAACCCCCCCTTTGGGCCGCCTCTGGTCATCGTCGCTGCGTCCCCCTGTCGGCGCTGCTGGCGGCCGCCGGCGCTGGCGAACGGGGGGGGGGTCCCAACGGGGGGGGTCGGGAAGGGGGGAGTTTGGGCAGTGGGCCCACCCCCCGGTTCGAAATGCGCCGCCGAATGTTCCCAAGGCAAGGGCCCGTGAAACGCGCTCTCTCCATTCTCGCTTCCCCCCCTTCGCTCGCCGCCGGCCTCCAGCTACGCGCCCAGGGCCCGGGGACAGTGAATGACCGTTCGGCTCCTTCACTCTGATTATCCATCTTCGCGTTTTCCGAAAAAAAATGTTGCACTGGTTGAATGCGCATCGTAACGCCTTGTAACCATGCGCTCGTTCCAGCGCCGAACGACGCGCCAAACGTCGCGATGACAGCTCAAACCTTAAATGTGTGATGCCGGTGCTCGTGATGCCTGCTGATTTCTGCGAAAAGCAACAGAAGAGGCGGAGGACGAACATGAGGAGGGTTAGGGCGAACGAGCATGGAGCTCAGCGCGGTGACGATGAGAAGTGTGAGTAATGAGGGGAGGCGCAGCCGGCGGAGGAGGAGAAGGAACAGGGCGGATGGCGCCTTCCCCTTGCTAGCCGCCATACTTTTTGCGGTGGACGTTGTGACAACTAACCAACTTCAGTTCCAGTTCCCCTTGCCACTCAGCGACGGCACCGTGCGCGCACTCGCCATGATTCACTCCTCCCTCATACCGTGGCCTTTGTGTCCTCGTCCTCCGCCCCCTGACGTTTTCGGCGACCGCCCCCACTTGAGCGATTGAAGAAAACGGGGTCGCTTGCGCCGACATTCGCGCGTAAGCGTTCCGCGTAAGGTCGCGCGTAAGCGTTCTGTCTTCCACTTGGCGTGTCACGCTGGCGGCCCACGGAAGCCGCGGCGTAATATCGCTACGCCATCTCGCGTAAAACCAGTTTCTTGTCGTCGCTAACTGCGGCGCTCCCAGAGGGGGGAAGCCAGAGGGGGCGGGCCTCCTCAGAGGGCTCGGAAGTTTTCCGGCCTTTGAGACGTTCTCTAAGCTTTCCCCGAAGGCACCGGCAACTGTTCGGTAGGCCGGAGGCATTCGGAGAAGCCCCCGTTGCCGTCTGAGAAGCACTTTCTCCCTCGCTTGCCCCCTCGCTCGCATCTGAGCGTGGGCGTCGATCGTTTACAGCCAACCCGCATAGTAAGGACGAGCGACTCCCCAAGGTTACCCTTGCATCCTTCCCCTTCCGCCCATCCTTGGCCGCCTTCGCTGGCCGCGCCCCGCTCGCAACGTGTCGACATGGCTTATCAAGGCCCTTGGATCCTTACAGCGTGTCCTTATTATACGGTTCGACTTTACAGTGACAACGCATGCCAAGAAACACCCTGCTTGCCTCCAGGGTGCCCTGGGTTTCTCGGGCTTCGATGGTCTTGCGTGGAAAGCGTGACGTGCCCACACCAAACATCAACGGACATCCTGGGCCCGGGGTCTCAGGGTTGGGCTTCTTGTGGAAGGTTTCTCGTGGTCGGGCCCCTGCCGTACTCCGACACCCATCTCGACCGGCCAGGCAGCACCCGCCTCGAGCCGCGCGCCCGCGGCCGGCAGGCCGCGGGCCGACGCCACCCGCCCACGCCGCGGCAGCGGGCGGGTGGCCCTGCGCCCGCCGGGGCGGGGAAAAACCGCTGCAGGCCCAAAACACCGAGCCGCGCCGACGCAGGGACGGGCCCGCCGAGAGCACCGCGAGGAGCTGCGAAGGGAGGACGAGGCAGATCGAGGAGGAAGCCTCGGATCGGATGGCGGAGGGGGCGAGGAGGAGGCGGAGGGAGGGAAGGGAGGGGGAGGAGAGCAAGCGAGGTGCGCTCGCGTCATGTCTGACGTCCTACCCCTCCCTCCCATCCCTTACCATGGCCTAGATCTCCTTTCTATTCGCGCAATCGGATGACGTAGCATGGCATAGCATTACATGGCATAGCATGGTGTCGAATATCAACGCGTAGCATGACATAGATTGGCGCGGCGACGCCCCAAGGTGGGGGGGGAGGCTGCGGCCAAACAAAATCAACGAATCGACACCGAAATTTTAATCGCTTCTGATGGCTTCTTCGGTAAATATGTAATTTTCTTGATTTTGGTGCCTATTTGGAAGGACCGAAAACCATGCCGTGGCATGGCACTCGAAATAATGACGCCAGCGCTGCAGCGGGAGCACGATTCGGAACGAGCGGAAGCGCGGAAACGAGGCCAGCGTTGCAGCGGGAGCACGACTGGGAACGAGCGGTAGCCCGAAAATGAGGCCAGCGGTTCAGCGAGAGCAGCATTTTGATAGCCTGACATGGGGCTTCTGCGGCCAAACAAAATCAACGAATCGACACCGAATGTGTAATCACTCCTGATGGTTTACTCGG